CTTAATTAAGGTTTATAAACTCGATCACAGCTAATTGTGATTTTTTTCTGTGTTTCTGACTTTGTAATTAGTTACTTATTTCAATTGGTGAACACACGTCATTAAAATTAAAATAACTGTGTCGTCTATTTTGTGTAGTGTTCCAATGATAAATAAAAATAGTTTTCTTTTTCGTCTAATTTTAGATTTTACTTTACCGAACTGAAAAGTGGCTTTGTGCTATAGATAGTTTAGTAGCTCTGCGTGCGTGTAGAAAAGTGCTGTCGTTTTGCTCTAAGATACTGAATAACGTATTCTCTACTGATATTTTAAATTCATATCGCATATTTTTGAAAGTCTAATCAAGCAGGTTGATTTTAGTTTGTTTAATAACGTAATTGAAGTAGGTAATAAATATTTGAGAAAATCCAATAAGTAGAGTGTTAGAGTGCTAAGTGTAAAGTGTTCTTTTTTTTTATTATAATGGGGGACAAGGACGTCATTGTTATGGAAAAGCCCCCAGGTATGTATTGTTGGTTTCTCTAGAATAGCATTAGATTAACATTGTTATTGTAATAAACCTAGATATGAGATTGTTATTGAAATTAATTTTATGCGTTGGTGAAGGCTGAAATACATTAACCACACAGTTAAAGTACCCGCATAATACTGAATTCAATGGAATGATTTATTATATTATTAGATATTAAAATATGTATGTAATGTATGATAGCTTGTTTCTATAAAAAATTGGCATTTATTTAGGTACTTACTGAAGAGTTCACGCATGCGGAATTCCTGATAAAACTACANAAATACCCACATACAGACAGACAGACAAAAAATTTACTGATTGCATTTTTGGCATCAGTATCGATCACTATCACCCCTGATAGTTATTTTGAAAATATATTTCATGTACAGAATTGACCTCTCTACAGATTTATTATAAGTAACTATAGATAATTTCTTATGGCAGTCTTTGTTTTGCTATTTCTACCTTTTCTTAATTATCTTGTCCCATATTTCGTGTAAATTGTCGCGGTATTTCGCGTTTTTTTTACTATCAGTGTCATACAAGCCAAGATGAGTGCTACTCGAGAATTTCTTGATGCTGCACTGCATAGAGTGAAGAGGGTCTTTCCAGAGAGAGTTTGTTCGACAGTGACTAAGTTTTTGGGTACGTTTTTATGTTGTTTAAACTATCACACAATCTAGCTTTGGCATATTATTATGTACACATACTTGCTTCTACTAAACATGAGTAGGTACACTTTAGGGATGTTATGGATATGTAGTTTCGGTTATGGATACGGTTATGGATATTGAAATAATATTATACCGGTTTGGGTTATTTTTTTTATTTCGGATATCCGAAAGTTTCGGTTACGGTTACGGATATTTGTGCTAAGTATAGAATGCAATATAGTGTAGATTCCAATAGTGATCCAATACAATTTAATTCCTTACGAATAGAATGGGTACAGAAGAGATTTCTTTGGCATCTGTCACCTTCTTTTGGTCTCAAAAAAGCTTTATTCTTTTGGGAAAAAACTCATGTACCTACTTGAAAATTAAATCAGCAGAGGGACTTGCTCGACTCTACCTACCTCCGAAACTATCCGAAACCTTTGAATCGGTTATGGTTACGGTTACAGATATTTTTTTATTTCGGATATCCGAAAGTTTCGGTTACGGTTACGGATATCCATAACATCCCTGGTACACTTATTTCACTCATGTTTAGTTTAGAACACTCAAAGCTCTGAAGCTTTCCCAATAAATTTTCATAGATGGCCATGCATATTGTAGTTACCTAGAATTGTAAGTATTCAATGAGCACATTGAGCACCTATCATTTCGTATCACTCGTAATCTCTATCATTTCAACCGATTAAAAAAACTGAAATTCAGCAGGATCAGAACTAATTAGTTATACCTATGTTATTGGGGGAGGCCTATGTTCAGCAGTGGACGTCATGTGGCTGAAATGATGATGATGTTTGTATTCAATAAGGATTACCTACTTAAATAGTTTCGTTTTATATATTTATTTAGTTATCTCGCATGTGTAAGTTATTATATTTTTTCTTTGGCACGCATCTGCGCAGGCTTACTAAAGAAGCCCATAGTCATGCTGTCTGTATTGACTGTTACTTTCTACTGTGCTATTAGTTTAGTCGATGGGTTTTCTATTCAATAACTAACTCAGCTATTAGTCTATGTATGATAAATCACATAAACATTCACATGCTTTGTCCTACCAGAGAATGTAAAAAAACTAGTCTGTAAAACGTGGGCCTCAAGCTGCTCGATAAGTTCTCCAAAATTAATTATAAATAAATAATGAAATAAATATCCTTGGACATTTTACACTGCGCCGCCATCAGCCCCAATCTAAGCAAAGCTTGTTCTATTGGTACTAAACAAATAAATAGTTAAATAAAGTACCTATTATTGTTACTCGTAATTTTCGTAAATAATGTATGTCCTTCACAATAAACTCACTGATCCATCGAGGCGTTAATACATAATGTATCATTTCCTTCAAGCTTAATTTATGTATTCCGCGATTTGAGGCCGACGCTTTATGAACGCGTATTGTTACGATTACGAGCTCGTACGATGCGGGCAATTAAACGAATTAGACATAATATTGTGAAGAAATGGCTAGATGAAGAATCAGATGAGCAAAGATGCCCTTTTATTTTAAAACTAGCTGTGCCCGCGACTTCGTACGCGTGAAACCCCGTTTTCGCAACATTTTTCATTTTTGCTCTGCACCTAATACTCGTAGCGTGATGGTTCGTAGCCTATAGCCTTCCTCATTAAATGGGCTATCTAACACTGAAAGAATTTTTCAAATCGGACCGGTATTAGCGCGTACAAGTAAACAAACAAACAAACTCTTCAGCTTTATAATATTAGTATAGATAGATGATATTCGTATTTATTATTTTTAAAAGTTTAAAACCACCCATCAGCACCTACGTAAAGCTTTAGAGCAATTTTCATCTAGATATTGATGTACTCACGCGGAAAGTAATTTAATTAAATCTATTTTTAAAGTAATTTCAGATTATTTTTGTATCTAAAAATAGGTCGAGCACTTTTTTCATTTGTTTCAAACGGGCAATTTGTGTTTTACACACATGTCTGTGTTTACCAACCAAACAAATGAGCGATGATTTTGTGGACAGTGTCAACATGTAATTGAAACAGTTGACTGAGACGGAGTGGTCAATTTAATTACCTAAATATGAATAAGTAGACTAAGTATAGAATTGATTTTCGATGTTGGTCCCACGTCCCACCTATTACAAAATTGCAATATGAGCACCGACAGAATCACCTTTTTTGGGTCTAGGGGTTTTTATTACATGCTGTGTTTGGATATTTTCCACCTATGGTCACTGACTTTTTGGCCACTTTAGGCCTTCGGCGACATCATGCTAATAATAATATCATAACGTCATAACCACGTGTTCTCACTTAATCCGGTCGATACTCTAGTAAATATCAACTCATTAACCGTAACGGTTAACAGTTGTTATCTGTTTAGTTTAGCAGAACCACTCGGAATGCGCACATGTTCGGCTTATTGTGAAATCTTTAATCTTAATTTGCGGACAAAGAAAAAAATAAGTGCTTCTGCCTCAAATTAGGATAGTGTTTATTGTTCAAATTAACAGTCAAACAGTGTTAAAAATCTTGAAAATCGGACTTAATTATGGTTTACAAACTCGATCACACCTAATTGTGATTTTTTCTGTGTTTCTGACTTTGTAATTAGTTACTTATTTCAATTGACGAACATACGTCATTAATTAAAAAAATCTGTGTCGTGTATTTTGTGTAGTGTTCCATTAATAAAGAAATTTTCTTGTTCGCGTAATTTTAGATTTTACTTTACCGAACTGAAAAGTGTGTTTGTGCTATCTATAGATAGTTTAGCCACAGTTTAGCTCTGCGTGCAGAAAAGTGTTGTCGTTATGCTCTAAGATACTAAATAACTAACATATTCTCTACTGATATTTTTGATTCATATCGTATGTTTTTGAAAGCCAAATCAAGCAGGTTGATTTTAGTTTGTTTGTTAACGTAATTGAAGTACTAAATTGGAAAAAATCCAATAAAGTGTTAAAGTAGAGTGCTAAGTGTAAAGTGGTTGTTTTTTTAATTACAATGGGGGAAAAGGACGTCATTATTATGGAAAAGACCCCAGGTATGTATTGTTGGTTTCTCTAGAATAGCATTAGATTAACATTGTTATTGTAATAAACCTAGATATGAGATTGTTATTGAAATTAATTTTATGCGTTGGTGAAGGCTGAAATACATTAACCACACAGTTAAAGTACCCGCATAATACTGAATTCAATGGAATGATTTATTATATTATTAGATATTAAAATATGTATGTAATGTATGATAGCTTGTTTCTATAAAAAATTGGCATTTATTTAGGTACTTACTGAAGAGTTCACGCATGCGGAATTCCTGATAAAACTACACTACACCACTCACGCACGTTAAAGAACAAAACTGATAAAAATGGCTTTCCCGCAAACAAGTCTCCGAAATAGGGTAGCTGGCAATGTCGACATCATTAGTCAATTGACATACTTTTTATGAGCTATCAAAACAAAACGCAACCCTAAATCTATATTTTTTTTCAATGCTAATTAAAATTAATTAGCAAAACATTGAAAACTATAATTAAGTATACCGATTTCAGGGTTTTAAGTATTTTCTAAAGTAGGTAAGTAGTTAGTTGTCTTGGAATATTTTTATTAAATAACGTAAATACAAAAGCGAACTTATTTCCCTACCTACTTACTTACATATTATAAAATTAAATTTTGTTAGTGTAGTAAACTCTCACCTTAACCCTTAAGTTGCCTGCCCTTTGGGACAGTTTCATAATAAACCATAACCGTTTTTCAAAATGTTTTGGTTCATTATACCAAATGCTCATTTGACTGCTCACGTCACTTCCTCATTGTCTATGCTTGCCCCAGACACCCGGACGGGCACAGATGGCGCCGGCGACGCGGGCGCCCTCGACATGGGCAGCCGGTCGTCGCTGCACACCGGCCTGCACATGTCAGAAGACGAGCACTGGGAGATGAACTACCATGAAGCAGCTATCTATTTGGAGGTGAGCCTTCATCATTTGAGCATCGTAAATAAACAGTTTACTGGCTAAAGAAAATTGTGCGAAAAAGCTCCCCAACTCAGCATAAGCCGTGACGTGAAATTGTGTGTGTATTTGTGCCACGACGTAAATTTTTAGGAAGGACCTTTCCATTTCAGTTCAGTAGGCCGTCCACTCCTGGACAAGAATCGCCACAAATCTTTACTTAAACGGACCGATTAAGGCATGACAGACGTCGATGGTGATGTCTGACAATGGGTTTGTGACCAGGGTGATTGAAGCCTGCAGTCATCATGTTTAAGCACGTCGCCTCTGTTTTGATACTAAATGATTTGACAACGACCGTCACCAAATAATTAACAAGCTATTAAAACTACAAAACTTAACCCATTTAGCCCTACCGTACCCTATGTGGTACGGTATCTTTTTGAAAATATTTCGAAGTACCAAATTGTTGTTAATTTGTAAAAATGATTATGACAGTAAGCTTAAAGTGAATATTTTACATAAAAATATTTAAAAATATGTTTTAACAAGTGGTTTCGGAAATATTTATGAAATTCCTCGATAGAAAACAAAATAAATATTTACAATGTTTTCAAGAAGGTATAATTTCTTATTATTTATGGTAAATTTGGTTATTTATCAATTTTATTTTAAAAATAGAGTAGACAATGGATATCACGACTACAAAAAAAATATTATTGATATTATTTTTATACGGTTTATTCCAGACTATAATAGATGTACCGTATAAGGTACAGTAGGTCTATGCATGAGCAAATCATGCAATTTAAATTTTATTTTTTTATTATTTTTATTTGTTTTAGGCTATTGATGCTTCACTATATTGCCACAACTCATGAAAAATTTGATAATTTCAGTAAACATAAAGCAATCTTGGTACTTTTCTACTGCTGTCTTGTCAGATGACCGCTAATGATGATCAGACTGACGAAGATTTAGACGATAAAGATAGTGTCAATGTAAATAACAACCCTCAGAGTTTTCTTTGATGAATTTGCTAAATTTCCATCGTCGTGTTGCTAAATGCGATAATGGATAGCACTAAACGTAACAAATCAGAAGAAGCCAGGTCTTCTTCAGCTATCGTCACTAACTTCGGAGAAGGTAGGAAAAAAGAACCAAATGTGGTTAGTATCACAGAAAACGTCTTACAAGATATGCCACGTGTGATACTAGTGATTATGTGATTTTATTTTTATTTTATATCATACAAAAATTAATAAAAATCTTCTTTGAACAACGACTATGTTTTGCTTGCTTATAGACCTACTGTACCCTATATGGTACGGGCTCCCCACGGCCCCCTATTTATGGATTATTTTTTTAAATATTTTATTCGTGATTTTTAGGCTTCCCTTTGTAAGTTTTTGCTGAAAAATCAATTTTTATTTACAAAAATAATTATCGGTCTAAATGGGTTAATAAAACCTCTTTCCTTCCAGGAAGGTCAAAACAATGAAAAATTCGACTCCCACCCGTCGAGCCCTGAAGAGCTGCCGGCGTACCTTCGCGTCCACAACCCCTGGTACCACGGGCTGGACTTGATGGCTTCGCTGATACTCATCCTGCTGGCCTTCACCGAGGTCCCGGCCGTGCATGCCTTCGGGGTGAGAACAAACTGAACAAGTTCTAGTTCTAGAATAGGTACAGCTACGTTCATTCAGGGTGAACCTCCGTTTTCCCGCCATAGCGACCTGAGACCAGACTAGACTCAACTCTGAAAGGGTTCAACACCGTATTGCCTTTCGCGAACTTAGCCTCGCTCATTTTCCGGGTTGATCTTGATAAGTATGCTACGTTCTTTAGTTGGTGAAGTTGGTGCAAAGCCTTATTCCAAGAAAAAAGAGTGAGCTGACTATAAAAAAATACAGATGCTCAATATTCTTCGTAGTCATATTGTTGAATTAGTCCAATTTTAATGACGACATTTAGCAGGACTAATTATAAACACAATTGAAAACGCCAGGCGAACTTGTGCAGAATCAAAATAAAGTGCTAGTTTATTTCCCAAATACTCGTAGGTACCTACTAGGTTCAATATGAGCGGATGTTATTGCAGTAGGTATCCTTTTTTAAATAACGCGCTATCAATTAAATTTCAAGCAGATACCTACTTACCTAATAGCTGGTTATTTCAGACAATCGATCAAGTATTTCGGCCAGCGTATGCGCAACTACTGCAATTATTAGCTAATAGATTGACCAAGATACTGATAGAGGCAAGGATATTGATAATGAGCATTAATTAGCTACTTGAATCATTTTTTATAATAGCTGTAAGTGCAATAAGGATGAAAGCGCCCTGAAATACAGAGAAACAACTAATTGATAATTACGCACAGATGCTTAACATGACGTTCTAGTTGAATTTTGTCCACTTTTCGAAGTAAGATGAGCTAAAATATGTAAATCTTGTGACTAAATTGTTCTTTTTTTGGTCTAGCCTAGTTGGTTATTTTTTACTGCTTTTACATTCCAGCTTCCAGTATGGGCACACGGCACGATAGAGCTGCTAGCACTCTCCGTGATAGGCATCGAGCTGCATCTGAAACTCAAGTGGATAGGGTGGAGCACGATACTCAAACATAAAAGAACTATGATTAAGGTATGTATAAATTATCTTAACTTTAGACTTATATGAACAGTAAAGAGCTATTCAAAAGTACGTATGACATTATTACCAACTCTCGTTCCCACTGCTTCAAGTCCTGTGTTGTACTCGTCGCCAAGAAGTCGATAGGTACACAGATTCGAACTATTTTGTTAAGACTCAAACGATAGTTAAATCCTAATAAATATGAGTTTCGTGGTGAGAGAGTCCTTTAATTCGTGTTTATTGTTTTTCTTTCAACGTTTTAGCTTTGGTTTGTTATCGACTGCTTGATTAATACCAAGTAAATGTTTCTTCCAGGGCATAACTCTCTTCATCATGGTGCTAGAAGCAGTGGTGGTGGTGTGTCGACAGTCGTCCCACTTCCGAGTGACGCGAGCGCTTCGTCCCATCTTCCTCGTAGACACACGGCACTGCGGCGGCGTGAGACGGTTTATACGGCAGATATTGCAGTCGTTGCCGCCTATTATTGATATGTTAGGTAATTCGATCATTGCTAATTAAATGAAGAAAGCTGTTGCGGTAAAGAATTCAAAAACTAGAATAATGTTTCACACTGATGAATATGAATATGTCATCAAAGTACATTAAGGATTCTAAAAATTGTCGTTTTTTATGTTAATATAAATTACACCACACGTCCTACTTTTGGGCATTTATCAAGCCATTCGATATGTAAATTGTATGAATTCATGATCCTCGCGTTGCATTTGGCGTGATTCCTAACGTCATGTACGAATATACGAGACTTGACAGTAGGCTTTAGTAAGATCAAGTTCATTGTATTTTTTTCTGTTTGTGTAATAATGTAAAAACCTTAACTTATTTTACTCTTTTTCAGGTTTATTGATGTTCTTCGTGGCAACGTATTCGTTGCTGGGCTATTATTTATTTTCGGAGCACGTAGATAATGGACATTTCAAAACCATCAGTGATTCATTTGTCAGTATGTTCGTCTTGCTGACTACTGCCAAGTAAGTGCAGACGCTGTCCAATTTTTTTAAAAATTTAATTTGTATTATCAGATCGTATCAGATGCTGTAATAATGGTGGTCTTTACTTGCAGTTTCCCAGATGTGATGATGCCTTCGTATGCTAAGTCGAAGTGGTACGCTTTGTTCTTCATCTTGTATATTATCACAGTCCTCTATGTTCTTATGAATTTGGTGAGTATTGCTTGACATAATTATTAATAACGTTTATATTTTGTATGAAAGATTGCTTCTCCTTTCCCCACTAGCGAAAACTGTCAGACGGGTTCACCAGAAGCTAGTTACTACACAATAAACTCCTTCAGACAATTCTTGATCAATATCAGGAATGCTGGACTTGCATTAAGTGCGGCGAAGGCGTTTCTTGTTTTCAAAATTTGCCTAGCAATATAGCGTCAGGCTTAAAATGGTGCATGGCTCACAGATGCTGGCCGAATGTGTTTTTATTTTCGAAATCTGGCTACCAATTAAGCGTCAATTTTAAATGCACAAATTTTAGCTTTCAACTTTTATCTCAAGCACATAAGGCTCTAATCGTCTGCTTTGCAGATGTTGGCGGTGGTTTACGAGACATTCACGCGTATCGAGCGCGAGAAGTGCCGCGCGTTGCTCCTGCACCGGCGCCGCGCCGCTCGCCACGCCTTCCGCCTGCTGGTGTCGCGCCGCGCGCCGCTCGCCGTGCGCCTGCGACACTTCGCCGGCCTCATGAGGCACTATGCGCCGCACTACTGTGAGTACCGGCGCCAAGTGTGCGAGACACCGGCGCCGCGCCGCTCGCCGTGCGCCTGCGACACTTCGCCGGCCTCATGAGGCACTATGCGCCGCACTACTGTGAGTACCGGCGCCAAGTGTGCGAGACACCGGCGCCGCGCCGCTCGCCGTGCGCCTGCGACACTTCGCCGGCCTCATGAGGCACTATGCGCCGCACTACTGTGAGTACCGGCGCCAAGTGTGCGAGACACCGGCGCCGCGCCGCTCGCCGTGCGCCTGCGACACTTCGCCGGCCTCATGAGGCACTATGCGCCGCACTACTGTGAGTACCGGCGCCAAGTGTGCGAGACACCGGCGCCGCGCCGCTCGCCGTGCGCCTGCGACACTTCGCCGGCCTCATGAGGCACTATGCGCCGCACTACTGTGAGTACCGGCGCCAAGTGTGCGAGACACCGGCGCCGCGCCGCTCGCCGTGCGCCTGCGACACTTCGCCGGCCTCATGAGGCACTATGCGCCGCACTACTGTGAGTACCGGCGCCAAGTGTGCGAGACACCGGCGCCGCGCCGCTCGCCGTGCGCCTGCGACACTTCGCCGGCCTCATGAGGCACTATGCGCCGCACTACTGTGAGTACCGGCGCCAAGTGTGCGAGACACCGGCGCCGCGCCGCTCGCCGTGCGCCTGCGACACTTCGCCGGCCTCATGAGGCACTATGCGCCGCACTACTGTGAGTACCGGCGCCAAGTGTGCGAGACACCGGCGCCGCGCCGCTCGCCGTGCGCCTGCGACACTTCGCCGGCCTCATGAGGCACTATGCGCCGCACTACTGTGAGTACCGGCGCCAAGTGTGCGAGACACCGGCGCCGCGCCGCTCGCCGTGCGCCTGCGACACTTCGCCGGCCTCATGAGGCACTATGCGCCGCACTACTGTGAGTACCGGCGCCAAGTGTGCGAGACACCGGCGCCGCGCCGCTCGCCGTGCGCCTGCGACACTTCGCCGGCCTCATGAGGCACTATGCGCCGCACTACTGTGAGTACCGGCGCCAAGTGTGCGAGACACCGGCGCCGCGCCGCTCGCCGTGCGCCTGCGACACTTCGCCGGCCTCATGAGGCACTATGCGCCGCACTACTGTGAGTACCGGCGCCAAGTGTGCGAGGCACCGGCGCCGCGCCGCTCGCCGTGCGCCTGCGACACTTCGCCGGCCTCATGAGGCACTATGCGCCGCACTACTGTGAGTACCGGCGCCAAGTGTGCGAGGCACCGGCGCCGCGCCGCTCGCCACGCCTTCCGCCTGCTGGTCTCGCGCCGCGCGCCGCTAACGGGCGTGAGCTCGTATCGTAAGTGAATCAGCATCGACTCGGTTACGGCTAGGTGGCGCTAAGCTCGTGGCTCGCTAACTGCTAATTTAATTACTTTGAAGACGAGCTCGCGGACGACGAGCCGTAAACGCGGNAGGCACAGAATAATAATAAGTACTACGTACAGAAGTTTTACTTCGCGAAGGTATTTAAAAAAATGTATGCTCAATGACATAAACAATATGGTGTAATTTAGCCTGTCTCAAGAGTCAAGCACCATTTTGTTGACAAACGTCAGTGATCGGCACTGCGCCGAAGCTACAGGACTGACTTCGGTAAAATGATGTGACGTAAGGGTGCCAAACTGCGGAAAATGGCGGAGGAAATACATGATTTAGCATGAATTATCATGAATAATCATCATCATCAACAGCCCTTTACAGTCCACTGCTGGACTATGAGCCTCCTCCACTATAGTGGAGGGTTTTGCCATAATCTCCACGCTTGGCAGGCGGGTTGGAGATCGCAGTTTAAAAGATTGATGTTTTATCAGAGAGCGCTGCTGCCCATTCTCTGTTTGATGTGTAGTCCCTAAGTCGCCTCTTACGACACCCGCGGGAAGAGTAGGGGTTGGTGACAAATGTATTCTACTCTGCCGTCACCACACGGCTTAATGCATGAATAATATTAACTACTTATTTACCTCTCAGTGTCTTGAGGCAACTTAAAAAAGTACATTCTGTGTTTTTATTATTATTTAGGCATTTAAATACTGCCCAGTATTTAGTACACCATTTTCTTTATTTTCTTCCATCATACACAAGAATACGCGTGCATGAGTCAATGTTCGCTCGTATGTGAGGCCTTGTCGAATAGTATCCTGTAGGTGGGCCATCGTGCGTGTTTTGTTTTCGATGTAAACTCGCGGAGATGAACAGGCCTGGTACAGGCGCCAAGTGTGCGAAACACCGGCGCCGCGCCGCTCGCCGTGCGCCTGCGACACTTTGCCGGCCTCATGAGGCACTATGCGCCGCACTACTGTGAGTACCGGCGCCAGTAGTGGCTCCACTTGAGTACAGGCGCCAAGTGTATGAGACACCGGCGCCGCGCCGCTCGCCGTGCGCCTGCGACACTTCGCCGGCCTCATGAGGCACTATGCGCCGCACTACTGTGAGTACCGGCGCCAAGTGTGCGAGGCACCGGCGCCGCGCCGCTCGCCGTGCGCCTGCGACACTTCGCCGGCCTCATGAGGCACTATGCGCCGCACTACTGTGAGTACCGGCGCCAAGTGTGCGAGGCACCGGCGCCGCGCCGCTCGCCGTGCGCCTGCGACACTTCGCCGGCCTCATGAGGCACTATGCGCCGCACTACTGTGAGTACCGGCGCCAAGTGTGCGAGGCACCGGCGCCGCGCCGCTCGCCGTGCGCCTGCGACACTTCGCCGGCCTCATGAGGCACTATGCGCCGCACTACTGTGAGTACCGGCGCCAAGTGTGCGAGGCACCGGCGCCGCGCCGCTCGCCGTGCGCCTGCGACACTTCGCCGGCCTCATGAGGCACTATGCGCCGCACTACTGTGAGTACCGGCGCCAAGTGTGCGAGGCACCGGCGCCGCGCCGCTCGCCGTGCGCCTGCGACACTTCGCCGGCCTCATGAGGCACTATGCGCCGCACTACTGTGAGTACCGGCGCCAAGTGTGCGAGGCACCGGCGCCGCGCCGCTCGCCGTGCGCCTGCGACACTTCGCCGGCCTCATGAGGCACTATGCGCCGCACTACTGTGAGTACCGGCGCCAAGTGTGCGAGGCACCGGCGCCGCGCCGCTCGCCGTGCGCCTGCGACACTTCGCCGGCCTCATGAGGCACTATGCGCCGCACTACTGTGAGTACCGGCGCCAAGTGTGCGAGGCACCGGCGCCGCGCCGCTCGCCGTGCGCCTGCGACACTTCGCCGGCCTCATGAGGCACTATGCGCCGCACTACTGTGAGTACCGGCGCCAAGTGTGCGAGGCACCGGCGCCGCGCCGCTCGCCACGCCTTCCGCCTGCTGGTCTCGCGCCGCGCGCCGCTAACGGGCGTGAGCTCGTATCGTAAGTGAATCAGCATCGACTCGGTTACGGCTAGGTGGCGCTAAGCTCGTGGCTCGCTAACTGCTAATTTAATTACTTTGAAGACGAGCTCGCGGACGACGAGCCGTAAACGCGGGGTCGACGAACCGTAAGGAATTTGTCTACTAAAAACCTCAATTATTGGTGGTATAAAGTACCCTACATTCGCTATTTATCATTTACATTTCATCTGAACAACCGATCTCACAATACTCTCTTTCCACAGCCGGCCTGGACGTGTACCTGATGTTCAAGCAGCTCAACCAATCGGGCACCGGCGGGCTCTCGCGAGCCGAATTCGCCAACTTGTACGAAGTGTTCGCGCTGCGCTGGCGCGGGCAGGCGGCGCGCGCGCCCTGGTACGCCACGTCGCCGCTCGAACCCGCCGGACGCGCCGCCGCCGCCGCTGTTAGATGGCCATACTTCGAATACTTGATCTGTGAGTTTTATGCTTTGATTCAAATACATAGAATAAACCTATTCCACAGAATAAGTAATAGTACAAAGTTACCTCTACAACGCCTCGCCGCTCGAGTTAGACAGCCCTACTTCGAATACCTGATCTGTAAGTATATTCTTCTTAGTCGTTTCGTTCTTGGCAGAGCGGTTATGGTCACGTTGAGGCGTCCACGTTGGTTGTAGAGGCAGATAAAGCTCTCCACACGATCTCCCGCTATCTCTCCTTGTTGGCAGACTGTGGTTTCCTACTGCGGATTTCCCTTGATCCGTGCAGCGCATAGGTGACCTGCCACGCGATCGGGTTCCTTCAACTTTTCTCTGAACGACCAGTCACTCATGGAGTTGTCATCCCGCCTTATGACATGTCCAAAGTGTTGCAATATGCGCGACATACGCTGCGTGATGCCGAGCTCCTGGAGTATGGACACATTGGCTCGGAACGGTGAGTTAGTTGCATTGATTCAATATAATAACCCTGTACGAGGTGTTCGCTCTGCGCTGGCGCGGGCAGGCAGCACGCGCGCCGTGGTACGTCGTAAGGTGGCCCTACTTTGAATACTTGATCTGTGAGTGTATTCTTTTTAGTCGTTTCGCTTTTGCCAGCGGCTGAGACGTCCACGTTGGTTTTAGAGACAGATACATTTCTCCGCACTATCTCCTGCCATCTCTCCCTGTTGGCAGACTACCTGTCTGGCCCTCGCTACCACCATTTCGAAACACCATGTTGGCTGGTGCTAAGATGAACTGGCGGAAGAAACCCAGTTACCTTTATGCCTCTTATTTATTACAGCGATTTCTGAATTTTAACAAGTGTCGCTTCATCGCTGTTCGCTTCGTAACTCTTGTCTTGGCAAATGTGGAATAGGACACCCACCAGCTCGATAGTGACAAGAAATACTACATAACAGGCAATAAAACAAACTGCTGTATGTCGTTGCAGACGCCCTAATCATCGGCAATGGCGTGTCTATGGTGTTGCGGGTGTGTGAAGCGGCCGGCAACCTGCAGGACAGCGCGCGGCTACTCTGTGCCTCATGGGACACATGGCTGTTCTTGTCACGTAAGTTTTTTTTATTAATATTTAATCAAATAAGTAAATATCATTGGACATTTTACACTGCGCCGCTAGTCCCAAACTAAGCAAAGCTTGTACTATGGGTACTAGGCAATGGATATAAACATACTTAAATACTTTTTTTTTGTAAATACATACATACTTATTTATATGTACAAAGAAAACACCCAGACCCTTCACAAGCGGTCTAACGCAAATAAGGCCGTTATGGTCTTTTAAGGGTTCTGTATTTTTGTCGAGACATGCTTTGGCCAATGAGGACGACCAGTTTTCAGCTCTACCCTCCAGAAGAACGGGACCTACTCACTAAAACTCGACGGTGTTCTCCGAGCACCATAAAACGGAGCCGCGAGTTATTATCCTAACTTGGACATTCGTCCATAGCTTCGTCTCAGGATACGGCCCGCTCTGGAGCGAGCTACTCCGGCTTCGAAGGGTCTTCCAATCCCCTCTTCTTTTTATAGAGGATTCTCCTCGTGGCCATGTAAAAGGTGCTCTTGTAGTGGAGACTAAATGACCTTATGATGATTACTTTGTGTTCTCCAGTGTTCCTGGTTGAGGCAGGACTACGGATGGCAGCATCAGGACTGACTGCGTACTTGGAAAGCGGCTGGAACGTTTTCGACCTTAGTGTGACGCTGCTAGCACTGGTGGGCGCTGTCATGCTGACTGTAGCGCCTGGACTCTTCATCGTGGTCATATTCAGGCCGCTTAGGTGAGTGAAACAGGTCTTTAACCTAATCTTACTTTACTTCGATTAACTTCGACCAACTTCGCGAGTAGCGGGGGTACTTACTAGGATTGTTCGAAAAGTAATGAGTCTTGGGTATTTCTAGCCATCATAAAAATCTGAAAAAAATTGAGTACGTCACTTAATTCTTCATTAGACCCTGGTGAAAAATCATTGAAGTTCACCATTCCGTTTAAGAATTTTCACCTGAACACGACCAGTCGGATGATTTTCTTGACTCTCCAAAAAGGCCTATAAAAAGGACACCGCCTCGACAATTTCCTCAAATATCAGGTCCCTGAACTACTTTTTCAATCGAAAAAAGAGCTATTAATGTAGCTGAGAGTCAGATTTAAAGATTGAGTATGGGTTTTTGGGCATTTTAAAACGCTATTTTTTCTGCCACCGCAACTTCAGGGTTGTGTATGGGCACAGAAAGGACAAGGACTTTTCGACTGATCGTGTTCAAGTGAATCTAATTCTTAAACGGAATGGTGAACTTAAATGATTTTACCAGATTCTTGTGAAGAATTAAGCTACCTACCCATTTTATGTTTTTGTGATGGCTAGAAATATCCCATCATTATTATTTGAACACCCCTCGCATTGGAGAATCTTTAAAATGTATTTATTCCTCAGACTGATGCGCCTGTACAAGCTGAAGAAGCGCTACCGCGACGTGTTCGGAACTCTAGTCCTGCTGTCGCCGCTCATGTCGTCTGCTGGCTGCGTGATGCTGGTGGTGTACTACTTCTTCGCCATCATCGGCATGGAGCTGTTCTCGCAGTACAACCTGCGGAACTGCTGCGCGTGAGTACTCACAAGAGAAAGGGAGAGAGAGAGAGGGGGAGGGAGAGAGAGAGAGAGAGAGAGAGGGAGGGCGGGAGAGTGAGAAGGGGAGAGAAGGAGGTATGGAGAGATAGAGGGGGAGAGAGAGTGTGGGAGGGAGTTAGAGAGAGAGAGATATCAATTATCGCCTATTTTTTGAAATAATCTGTTTCATCTAGAAAAATGTATGGTACAGTCAGCGTCAAATAGTAGGAATAAGGTTGTGTTGTCAACTTTTTGGCCACTTTGGGTGTCACGAACTATTTGACCTGCAGGCCTACTACGAAAATCGAAATACGCAATTGCGGACGAAACGGAACACGAAACGATGATCGTCCGTTTGGCCTACTACCACAGAATAATTATAAGTGCTCTACCAAACACTTTTATATTAAGAGCCATTTCACAAAAAAGTTCCGCGCGAATTTAGGTAAAAGCTGTCAACGCAACGTCAAAAGAGTAAAAAGAACGCTGAAATGGACAAAAAAATCTTGAGCCGTGACCGTATTAAGACTTGATTTAAGTTATTAATTTTAAGGTAGAATGAGGTATTCAAACTTGATTAATTAATTTAAATTTTTAATAGAGTTTATTAAGTCTTTTATATTTCGATTCATAATGAAACACGAATAGGTATAATATGTAAAATATATATTAAGTACAAAATAAAGACAGTCACATAGTGAAAAATAAATCTGCCCCCTTACAGCTCCATCATCGGACCCTGGATACGAATAATGAAACACGAATAGGTATAATATGTAAAATATATTAAGTACAAAATAAAGACAGTCACATAGTGAAAAAAAAAGAATATAAGTAGTGTTTGGTGTATGAATCAAGGAAAAACTAAAATATTTGGGGGCACGGTAGTGCAACCGCCAAGTCGAGTAAAATTTTTCAATTTCGGTCCAGTTTTCTAGATACATAACTGCTGTCTACAAAATACAAAAAGAAATGAGATTTGGGGGCACGGTAGTGCAACCGCCAAGTCGAGTAAAATTTTTCAATTTCGGTCCAGTTTTCTAGGTACATAACTGCTGTCTACAAAATACAAAAATGACATGAAAACACGTGTATATTAAATTATTTAGTGCGATGGCCAAGTCAATATATTTATGTAAAACGTTAAAGATTTCCTGGCCTGGACTTGGTATTACATGGATCTCACAACTTTTTACCGTAGAACAACTGAGTTGCGAGACTTGGTTTTTTGACAAGTATTGTTTTTGATGGGATGAACTTATGTTCGGAATAAGAATTCTGTGTGTTGGTCGCAGGTGTTCTACCTGTTCACGATGGTGGTGCTGACGATCGTGGTGGCCAGCGTGCTGGAGGCCTTCCGCTTCCGCATCCAGTACAAGCGCAGCACCACCAAGAGGGACGGTGAGTACCATCACTCCTTTATCTGGGAGCCGATCAAGAAAGACAATTCCATGCCAAATGTCAATTTAAGGGGATATTTTTTTACTTCGTAACAGGCCTCCTAAATTTGTGTAGACCAAATCCTTAATTGGCTCTGGTAAATTAGCTAAGATTGGTTTCTGCAGTAGAGACCAATGACCAACTTCTTGCGTGTATTTCGCGGCACGGTGTCTGTAAGTCATAAGTGCCACTTGTGGTCTAAACTGAATAAATATTTTTGATTTTGATTGTGATTTTGTATGTCTGGCATAAAAGTCCGTGAACAATTTTGAAAAGTTAACTTTAACACAATCCGTTATAAATCGTTATTTTTATTGATTAACCGGATATGTTAATCTTAATACTGTTGAAATTAATTCCAGAGGAGAAGTTACTCCACGAGGAGGTACACACGAGCTGGGAAGAGGCTCAGAGACTGGGTGCCAGCGGGGACTTGGCTGAAGAACTGAGGCCGTACTTACCGCCTGGGGTGAGGCTTCAAACTCTCTCGTATATACAGCCCCCCTAAACAAGTGGCATTATGTGACAGTTGTAATTTAGAAAACCCATCTCAGAGCGAGGTAACTTCATAAAGAAAATGCAAGAGCGAAGGCATTTTGAAATAAAAATTCTGACGACTTAAATTGTCACTTGTCTAGGTGGGTTGGCACTTTTCTAGATAGGTATTTGCCTTACCGTTATTTCAGGACAACATTATTGGCTGGAGTTAAGAATGGCTGAAAAAGCTATATCATGGTACAGATACTAATAATAGACCCCGCATAATTTACGTCATCCAGCAAAGTAATAGATTTCACATGGCTGAATTGCCAAACTACTTGGACGTGGAAATTACCTACCTTTAGTGTATCAGAACTTGTGTTTCTTTAATGAAAAGACCGATAGTTAGCGAGATAAGCATTTATTATTCGGGTTCTTACACAGACACATCTTGTTCGTACATAGCCGGAAGAGGGAAGAAGCGTTCTACCGGAAACAGTTAACTTTTTAATATTTAATACACTTCCAAAGATAATATAATCCTAACACTCCCTCTCAATTACAAGTTAGGCTTTAACTTTTAATTGCAAAACAAAATAATTTTTATCTACTAATAAAAACTTCTAATAACAATATTCCACTTATGTTTTAGTATGGCAACATTAAAAAAAGAATTTGACATTTCAGAAACTGACATTAATGACAACTAGTGACACATGCAACTCACTTCACACTGTTCTATTAATGTAAACAAAACTTTAAATGAAATCACTACAAAACTAATAACTTCTCACGAAAATAACTGAACTTGATATTACACAGTGATTTAGTCAAAATATCTGACGTATTTTCGTTTGTACTTACATATTTGACACTTACAATATTATTACAAACTATGTCTTTCACGAAATGAAATTTAATGTCTATGTGCTTCGAATGTCGAGTGTTTTCACTGTTCATCACCATTTTAATCGCACTTTGATTGTCCACATATAACACTGCATCACTTTTGTCTTGAAAATCGATTGCAAGTCCCCTCACAAATAATAGCTCGCTCACAGTCATAGCGGCGGCGACATACTCTGCTTCCGCAGTTGAAAGGGCGACAGCTTGCTGTTTCCTGGATGACCATGATATAGGATTTCCTCTGTGATAAATGACCATGCCACTGACACTTTTTCTGTCAGATTTATTACTGGCCCAGTCTGCATCTGAAAAGGCTGAAATAGAATAAGTGTTAGTGTTATCTTCTTTCTTCATATAGGTAAGTTCTCTGTTTTCAGTTCCCTTTAGGTAACGCAGTATCCTCTTTGCTGCATTCCACAAGCTTCTTGTTGGCTTGTCAAGATAGTTTTCAACCGACTTCAAAAAAGGAGGAGGTTCTCAATTCGACCCGTATGTTTTTTTTTTCTATGTTTGTTACGCGATAACTCCGCCAATTATGAACCGATTTGAAAAAATCTTTTTTCGGCGTATAGGTAATACTTCAAGGGTGGTCCCATTTAAATTTAATAATAGAAAAAACAACCCCCCAAGGGTGGAAAATTGGGGATGAACTTTTTTATACGCAATATTTTTAATTTTTAGTTTTTTTTTGTGTTCACGCATTTGAAGTCGGTTTTATTTTTTTTAAAAGTTAATTATGTTATGTTCAGTCGGAGGTGACGTTCATCGGGTCGCGGCCGCGGACGAAAGAGGTCCTGCAGCGGAGGATGTACCAGGCCGACATACAGAAGTGGCTCGCCGAGGAAGACGAAAATGAGGGTAGGTGTAATACTGAGAACTTACCTTTCCATTTACTGTCCTTTTTTTACCGCGTTAGTTGATTCATATGTCTCTTCGCATACCTACTTTTTGAGAGAACCTTGAGGTTGACGTTGCACTAGACTGTTTCATTTGCCCACACTCATGCACGATCACCGACACTTTTATTGGTAAAGATTATTTTTATGTAATAATGGAACAAAACTGCCGAACACATGATGCTTAATAATATAAAAATATCTCGTCAAGAAGCCAAAGCACACATTTTTTTAAATGAAACGCAATCGCCCACGTGATTCTTCACTTTCTCACCAAGAAGCCTAAAATAAGTACCTACACAGATGCCAACAATACAACAAAAAAGAAAAAGAAGTACCAACTACCATTTTTTAAAAATGGAACATGACTGTCAAAGTGACGTTTCTCTTTCCCGCCAAAAGCATAACCTTCACTTTCCCGCCAAAACAAAAAACCTTTACCTTGTCTATGGCCAGGAGTGCCGCCGTCCACGACGCTGACGTCGAGCGAGGACCCGCTGGCGCCGCCGCTGGTGGGCGCGGCCAACGAGCAGCGCGTGGCCGTCCGCGGCGGGTACCAATTGTAGAGGTGGGAGGATATAATGGAATAAATATTATTTGGAGGGCAGCAGATGATGATTGAAAGGTTGTGTTGCGTAAATTCACTTTATTGCCTGTCGCCTGTCAGCACAGTTTAAATTAAATACAGCACAAATGGAAACCACTCGGAGTCAGAGCTGCTACAGGCGCGCGCGATGCTGCGCAAATACAGACGGCCACAAGACCGAACGAACGAATGATGCATTATGCATTTTATTGTTGGAACCCAACATTATTTACTAGGTTTATTAGGTCATTCTCTACTCCACTGCAGTAATCAAATAAACTTTGAAATACCCCGATGCCGGTAGTGTCAGTCTATTGATCCATTATTATCATCATCATTATTAAGAAGTCATTTCGTCTCCACTGTCATTTCGTCTCCTACCAGAGGAAAATGGAGGATTTGGTCTACAGTAGGTACACACTGTAGGTACACAATCCAAGCAGGCCCATATTCACGGACAGTCGGGGTAGATCTATTCAGTCATTTCAGACGATAAATCTAGAACTTATATTACATAGATTAATCTATCTATAATTCTGTAAAAGCAAAGGTCACTGACTGATTCACTCATTCATCACGAAATCTCAGAAACTACAAGTGCTAGGAGTCTCAATTTTTGTATGAGGGTTCCTTTTAGAACGTAGGTGCTCACTGAGACGGGATTTTGCAAAATTCAATCTCTAAGGGGGTAAACCGGGGTCCACGCGTACGTAGTCGCAGGCGGCTGCTTAGTCGTCAATATTTGTAGGCCAAATCTTCCATTTGCTTCTGATAAAGTAATTTATAGAGTCGTTTAGAGAGGACTCTTGCAGCTGTACCTACTAAATCTGGCAGTGGTGACTAAATGAGTTGATGATATTATCGATATGATATGTCTATGTTTATCGATATTAAACCAAGTTTCAATCTAGGTGGATACTAGCGGCGCTGCGGCAGCGGGCGCTCCTCATATGGGACACTCTGGAGGCGCTGTGACTCCGCGCGCTAGCTCTGTGCGCGCGCCTGCGCAACTTCTTTAGTCGATAATCGAATCGACACAGAACTGTACAAGTGTCATTCTGTACGAATGTGTCAAGGTCTTTAGGGCCAGTAGAGGTTTATAGACTAAGAGCTGGTGAACGCCAGACCTACGTCATTTTATAAAAGCTGAAAGTTTGTCAGCGTATGCTCCCAGTTGGTGGATCATGAAGTTTGGGTCATCGTGGCTTTGGCAGCTATCTTAAAAAAACTGTCTGGCAAGGAGTTGGAACTGTCAAATGTATCTGGCTGATGTGGAAACAACTTTACACAACAACGCCGTTCACTAGCTCAGTCTATTATTTTTGGGAGTTCTTGTCCGAATCTTTGTTGGACTTGAAATTGCTGATTGGTTTTTTGTTTGGTTTACGATAGCTATTTAAATCTGGATGTATACCAATGAACGTTAGTAGTAGACTTGAAATGTGGATTTTAGATGTAAGTTTTATGAATGACAGCAGCCATATTGCAAAAAAAGTACATTAAAAAATTGCAATTATACTGAATTAACAACTCTTAACAATTTCTAATTGACCTGCAAATATTTAATACAGTTAAAATAACTTAAATCTTGTAAATTCTTAATAAAAACAAAATGAAGAGTGCATGAATGTATGAAAAATAATGCGAAATATTCTAACACCTGTGATATGAGATCAATGTTTGACCAATTGCGTGTAAAATAATAAATTATTATTTTTAATATTTATTTAATCTTTGTTAGTGAGTTAAGCGTTATGTTATTTAAGTCTTGGTTGTTGTGTACCAAAGGGTTTTTAGATGAAGAATATACCATTCATTATTTTGTAATTTTAAGAGTCTCCTACGACCTAAAGTGTGTTGTACTTACATACACAGTCTAAATATTTGACTTTAGTATCAAAATAATTAATTCCCTATAATGCAGCTTATGACCGGTTAGTCGATTTTAAGATACATATGAAACGAAATGGTTCATAACAAAATGTGAAATGAAAAATGATATAATAATATTTAGCTTAACCTAAGAGCACACGTAAAAAAGGGAAGAACTAAGTATAAGAAATACTGTTCCACAAATAGGTAGTTTTCCATTAAATAGATTTGATTATTATGTGTAAGAGACTCTTAATAATTTAACATCTGAATGTATGTATACCTACTTTCCCAGTAAATATGTCTATTGAATTACAATAATGTGCAACTAATATTCTAAATCGCTTATAGAAAAGCTTGTAGTGATAAGACATTTTTCGAATAAGAAGGAGATTATGAGATTATCAATAAGATCAAAAATAAAAAAGTGTACATTTTGGTGGACTGAACAACACTGACCAATACAAAGTTCAATGAAACTCACCACCCCCAATGGTTTTTGAACTGTCTGTCTTTAGTCTAAGGTTCAAAATTATTTGATGCTAGTGATTGTACTAAACGGTAGTGGGAGGGGTGACAAGCAAGCGTCTGATTGGTCATGTCACGTGACTAGACGTCATTACGTCATGAGGTATAAATATTATGTATGTTTTATTATGTTTAGTTTAATATTAGATCAAAAACAGGTACCGATATTAATACCATAAAGATATTTAAACTATGTAGCTTATGAAACAAATCTGAATGTAGTATATTTCATGAAGTCTCGTAAATATTAAAATAATTATGTGTGAAATAAAAATAAACAGATTTTAAAATTAAAGACTAGCAGCGCCACAGTTAATTGACTTCTTTTGTGAAGTTAGATTCGAATTTTACGGCGAATATTATTTAATTTTGTTAATAGATCGTTCTTTTTAAGTTATCACTAGGAAGTAAAGTAGTCAATGTGATAGTTCATGGACCATTTAGAATGTTATGTAATGTGCGACTCAAAAATTAATCATCCCGTTTCTTTTCGAAAAAATTGTTTCTCCATGATAATGATTTTTTGATATTTTTAGAAGTTTTGTAAAGCTTTTGAGTTTTCGTAAGACATTTTTGCCATTACGATAGAAATGTTAATCTACCGTCACTGTCATTGTTTGAAAAAGAGGCTGACAAGAGCTAAGTTACTAGCGCCATAATCGGATTTTCAAGTTTCATCTAATGGGCCACTTCTGCGAAGGTTGTACCCATTTATATTACAACGCGGTCGAGTTAACTGCGCATCTGACTGTGACGTCACATCGACGCTCTGGTACGGGCGAACGCCAGGTGTGCGGGTAAGTGGAAGGAAGAGTCGCATTCCAGCGAGGTACGCAGTTCGCTCGAGTTACGGCCTGTCATAAAACCTGTAGGGTAGGGCCTGTAGTCAAAAAGAAAACAAATATGTTAGAATTAGACATTCCTTACGCTTTAATATTTTCCTTCATTGGTTTACCTACTTTATTTAAAACATATAAATTAAAATCCATAGGTGGCGCTAGTCAGCTCAAGTCTGCCTCTCATAGCCACTTAAATAAAAACAAATCTAAGATATAAATTTATGAAAATGCATGTGCGCCAATTTCATTTAGAAAACCATTCATTTATGAAGTAAATGAAAAAAATAATTCTCAATCATTTATGAAAAAAATAATTCTCAATCATTTAGGTATTCGATGGTGCTTACGCTTGTAGGTATGTAAAATTGGATAGATATAAAAGGACACTAGGGTAATAAAAATGAGGTTTCTGCCTCCGTTATAGACTAGGCATAGATGTGATTCAACTTGTCTATAGTTCCGTGATCCAAAAGTATTCATAATAAATAAGAATTAAAATTAAAATAAATTATTTAGATTTTATATCAATTTATTTGGCAGCTTATTTTGCGTGCGGCTTTTAGAGACGATTTTAAGTTTTAATATTTATATGTAAAAATAAGAGAATTTATACATTCTAGTTTTTCAAATAAGTTAATCATTGTTATTAAACGCAATACTGTGTTACACATTTCATTTTTTTATTATGATGTTAACTTGTACCCTTATTAATAGCTATAATTAATATTTCATTTTCCAACTTGTTAAAAATGTAATAATTTTGCAATTTTCATTTATTAACGTTAGTATATTTTCCATTTTATCAAGTTTAAAACTTTAAGAAAATGCTTTATTTTGTGTTGTCTTCCATGGTTGTGTAGAAATATTTTATTTAAATCTAATTATTTAATGTAGTAACGATTAATCGTATTAATTTTTGATTTGACATTTTATGATAATTTATTTTCACTCGGTCACGTTGTTGATACGCAAGTTAGTAAAATAATAACGTGTTATTAAAATAACTTATTTGTGTAATAAATGCACTTTTTAATAAGAACTTGCTTTTATTTGTTATCATTATGTAGTTATGTACCTACTCCACTCATTAATTCTTCATTATTTATATTAATTGGGTTTTGATTACAGAAGTATTCAGTCAAAGGCTTTTAATTAAGTATGTTACTAGAAAAACGGTTCAGTATAAAAAATGTGTTACATCGCGGGCACGACTAAAACGCTTTCAAATTCAATCAGTCTCTTTAGCTATAGTCTGGTCTGTGAGCACGTAGAATTTTGTCCAATGACCCCAAGCTACCCATCCTTATCGCTCGCGCGTAATTATGTTGCTGTCGCGACTGTGCGAGGGGCGCTCGCAGTGAGTGTGCGAGCGCGACAGCAAAACAGCAGACCAGACTATAACATCGAAGGTTGGGAGCAGTGGTTATCTTTCAAAAGAAACAAGTCACATTCAAAATAGAAGATTTATTCAGTTTTATTGTTACCTCAAGTAGTCTTTCATAATTTAACAAATTCTACAATCGATTAGCACCCATTATCCTAATTGTGAGCGCGGAAATTGCATAAATACATATAAACTCAATTATCTACTTAGAGCTAGGCGTTTATCAGTTTCGTTTTTACACAACAAATTGTACAACCCGCTAAAACGCTGTTACCGTGATAACGGTTCTCTGTCGCAGTCGCACATGCCAGCATCTCGTTTGAGCGAGAGAGATGGACATATCCGAACATGTCCTGCAGAAGTATTTTTAATATTCGATACCGCGGGTACTTATACGCCCGTATTATAAAACGACGCTAAAAATTAGATTCAAACTTAAGCTCAGTCTAATATTGGTTTGTGGTCATTTCTCATCTGCCCCCGAAGGGGGGGAATATGGGAATTTTCTCATTTCATCTTCACACAAAAATATGTTTTTAAGTTGGATGTTTATTACCACATTTGGATGAATATCGGTAGGATCTTAGCACTAGCTAACATATTTGTATTTTATAACGCAGAGTAACATTTCTTTAAATGTATTTGAGGAGTGATCCTTCCGTTTCAACTACATTTGCGTATACTGTGTAGATTTGTATTCGTCGTTTCATAATAAAGGCTATGGAATTACAATCGCATGCAGGGCATTTGGAATGGTTTTAACAACTAACGATAGAATTAAACAGGGAAATAAAAGATCAAACAGATCATTTACTTGTACTACAGTCCGCACAAGTTAATTTTATATTTATTGATAATGCAAAATGGTCTACATAAATTAAAAATTGAATAAATTGATTGAATTAAGTATAATTAATTTGTTTGTTAAAAGTCTGGATTTTTATTTGTAGTTAATAAATATTGGCATGAATCCACTTTCTCACTTTCTGTTTATATTTTTGCTGTAAAATGCTATTTTTACCGATTGCTTATTGAAATCCATTTAATATGCAGTGTTTAAATAACACTACAATAAATATTTATTGATTTCGATAAGATAAATGCTCAAAATGAACACATTTTATTAAAAAATCCATTGAATTTATAAAATAATATGAAGAAAAACCTTTTTAGCAATGTTTGCATTAAAAAGTATAATACATGCAAATAAAATTGTACACAATAATGATCTTCTATTGAAAATACAATTAAAAACCAAATCATTTAGTTCAACATAAATACGAGGTTTGATGAATATCATATCAAAGTACGAGTAGAACCAAGATTCGAACTTACTTAACTTCTAAAACATTTCTCAATTCTCATTCTCAACGCGTGGAATGATCTCCTATCAAGTAGACAAGGATAGCACGTCTTTTTATTTACTATTTGGAGTTCGCACTTCATCAATTATTCATACAAGCATTTCATTACGACCCGTATGTATAGATGGTTCAAAAGGGCTTCAATTTTTGGTAAATTGTATAAATATGTGCCAGGCATACTGAGTTTTCACGATTTCGGAGTCAAGAAGTGTGATTATTTGTGATAATAAACATGATTATTTCATCTTCAATATACACAATTCGTTAATAACTTTATAAAGAGCAACGGTATCAACTATACTTTATCAATGTAATAGAAAATCAAAAAACACTCATAAAATCGACGCCATTTTGAACCGAAAGAAACATTATACTAATAAATAAATAATATAAACAAAAAACAATCGCATATGTACTCTCTAAAATTATAACTAACGTACATAAAATTATATTTAGCTAGACGTTTATCAATAGAATTAAGTTAGGGTGGAAGTAAATCATCCTTTGTCCTCCAGTGGACGTTTTTCGGCTGAAACGAACGAAGTCATAGGAGGGTTTTCCTGACCATTGATACGGAGTGAGGCGGGGTAGAGAGAGATAATAATGCGAATACTGTGTGTTAGTCACCGTGCCCGATTTTCCCCGTTTCTCCGCAACGAGTTTAAAAATTAATACGCAAATCTCTACTTCACTCAAATCGGATTTCTGTCCTTTCTTAAAAAAAGAAAATTTTGATACAATTTCATAATTTAATACTTTATTCAAGGCTCAATGTAGCAATTTATTAGAATCAATTTATTTAGAGCCGATTTCAAATAAAACACGTTCACATACATAAATACTTAAGAATTGTAAAAGTGGGGGATTATGGGAATTCCCATATTCCCCTGGTCAATATTTATACCCGTGGGGACAATAGCAAAGCCAAACATTTAGCTCAATTCGAAAGCAAACAGTGGTTTTTGTCGTACAGTCAGGTACAAAAAGATGTATTCATATCCAAAAAATGTCTTATTCAAATAACAAAATTTTGTATCTGGCTGTACAGTCACATGGCAATAATTAATACTACATATAATAACATTTAACAATGATAGAGCTTCAACATCTATACATGCATAATTATGTATTTGCTACACAACTTTGTGTCATACAAAACAAATCAGCATTTTTTGTCAACAACACTTATACAGCTTTTAAAAAGGAAGCTTCATTTACACACAAATGTTGGAAAGTTAAATATAAACATTTTACTACGAACAATAAATTGTAATACGAATTCATTACGAACACCAGTCCAGTTATGTACTTTGAAACACTTTTTTCACTTAAAATTTTCACCTTCACCAACTTAACGAGTTCCAAAACAGAATAGTTTTTATCACAAATATTTATAACACATTGACACTTTCACTCTCAGTCTTAAAATGTCCGAATTCAGGTGGACATTGCATTCATTTTCAGTTTTTTTTCACATCCATTGGATATTCATGCAACTTTCAAGACATATCCCATTTTTAATACACATACACCATTAAAACAGGGTGCAGTGTTTCCGTAACATCCTTTGTACCGCGAGCTTTTTGGCGTAACGCTCATTGGTTTAGTTTATTTCAGAGATACTCAGAAATATCTTTCCAGAATTTTTAACAGCATATCTATAGCTGTCTTTGGTAAAGCACGATTCAGTACACCACTAAATCTTAACGCTCTAAGGTTTTAGAGTCCCAAATGTCTCATAATTTTTATTAAATTCCCTGTAGAGTTTCATTTGCCCCCGGGTGAATTCCCATCCGCCCCCGCTAGGAGTCCTTGAGGCGTTTGTGAGGGGGCGCGGGTCACATCTCTAGCGAGACGCCGGCGCCGCCTAGACGTGTCTCGGTGACGCGGAAGCCGAGTTCTAGCAGCTGCCCTGAGAGCGAGTCCACGGTGCTACGGGGGGTGGACGGTGGGATAAGCACCATTGCGTAACTGGAATGAGAAGAAAAGAAATATTAATGCATAAAATATGCGCCAGAGAATTATTAAATTAAGGACTTACGCTAAAACTTGCGGGTGGGCACTTCTAAATGCACGTTCGCAGCATGCATTCACCCCCCGCAGTTTTGAGACAATAAGGCCATACATTGTCGATAATATTATATCATCATCATTTCAGCCATAGAACGTCCACTGCTGAACATAGGCCTCCTTCAATGATTTTTATAATGACCGTTTGGTAGCGGCTTGCATCCAGCGCCTCCCTGCTACCTTTATAAGGTCGTCGATGCACCTTGTAGGTGGATGTCCTACGCTGCTTTTCGGATTTTTGCTTTTGAAGATTATATTGTGGCTTGCGTAATTAAGAAGAAGTCCTGTAAACTTTCACGCATTGTTACTTCTAAATAAATATAGTCTTATCTTACCCGCCGCCGCCAGCGCCGGTGAGCTTGCAGGCGAGGCCGCGCGCTCGTGCCGCCGCCCGGATGGTCTCGAGCGCGGGGTGCGACACGCCCAGCGCGCCCAGAAGCCAGTGGTTCATGTCCCAAAGCTCCTGGAAGCACATTATGTCGGCCGTTTGGTGTAGTGATTCAGAACGGACTACTATGCCGAGAGGACCCGGGTTAGATTCCCGGCCGGGCAGAATGAAATGATAAATTTTAATTTCTCCTGACGGGTCTGGGTGTTACTATGTATAATAAATGTATGTATTTACAAAAACAAAAGTATGTTCATATCCGTTGTCTAGTACCTATAGTACATGCTTTGCTTAGTTTGGGATTGGGACTAGAGGCGCAGTGTAAAATGTCCAAGGATATTTATTTATTATTTATTATCGTCGTGAGTCCATTGGAAACCACGCTTGACACCAGGGGTTCAATTACCAACAGCAATTAGATATTTACAAGTTATTTAAAACCAAGGAACCAGTAACTAAAGTACTCCACAAAGCATTATTTTTTCATCCAATCGCTGTCGCTGCCAGATATCTTGTTAACGTGATCGGTTCATTGAAATGCGTAAAGTCAAAAACAGTTCAAAATGGTTTGACACACAAACGCGTCAAAACATGAAATAGAATCCTAAAACCACCCACCATGAACCTCATCGTTAAAAATAAATTCGGGGGAAAATGCAACATTTTCTTCCCATCTTTCTCCAGTCACAATCGGAGGAAGATGGCACAAAAATTCCCATATTCCCCCCCTTTAGAGGAAGCTTGTCGGGGGAAGATAGGACTTCCCAGACTTTTCAAGTAAAATGAGACTAACAAATAATAAATACAACTTACTGCTAAATGCTGGTATTCAGCCTCCGAGTCTATCTCGCATTTGCCACTAGTGAGTTTAACCAAAACCTGAAACAAACATCGGAGATATTAGTTTACAGAAATGTTAATCTTATTTGAATCATTGCACAAGTATTTCTAAATATACAATAACTGACTTTCATAGTGATCTATCAACGCACAGCCCAAACCACTGGACGGATCGGGCTGAAATTTGGCATGCAGGTAGATGTTATGACGTAGGCATCCGCTAAGAAAGGATTTTACGAAACTCCACCCCTAAGGGGGTAAAACGGGATCCACGCGTACGAAGTCGCGGGCGGCCGCTAGTTTTATCATAAGTCAATTCAAGTTTTGATACCTAACTTCAATGAGCTTGATTGAATCTAGTATTTTTATTATTATACGTACATAATAGGAATTGAAAAAAATGAATAAGTATATCTATTAATTTTCAAAAAAGTAGTAAATTGTATTAAGATGAATTAACCTTATTAATTTAAACACAACGAACACTTTTCTTTTTATGAATTAATAATAATAATTAGAAGTTTTTAATAGGTTTAATAGGTAATGTATAGGTTATTATATTAATTAAAAATAAGTGCCTTTTGGTGTCCGCATAATATAGTTATTATTAGTCATTCTTGAATAATGAAACTCATCTCCCAGGATACTAGCTCAGAACCTAAGAAAGGAAGGCAAGAACGTATCGAGCCCTCCCCAACTTTTGGAAGAAGATTCCAGGGTACGCGTCTCCCGAAGAAGACAGAAGAAGTTTCCTACGTTTGTTGCATAACCTTCTATTGAGCTCAGCACCTAGAAATAGATCCCGGGTCACCCTGGTGTCCACGAGCAGTATGGACAGGTTCCTCTTAGTGTATAGCCTGCTGTTCTAACTCAAGACCTAGGAAAAGAGCCCAAGAGCTAAGAAAACTGACCCTTACTATCGAAGAAGACAGAAGAAGTTTCCTACGTTTGCTGCATAACCTTCTACTGCGCTGAGGACCTAGGAAACGAGCTCAAGAACTTAGAAGACCAAGCCTATGTATGTCGGCTTGTACAGCGCCCCTAGCGGGAAACGTCCAAAAACTAAAATTTTCATACCTTTTTTAAACGCGCTCACTCACACTCAGTATAGACAAGTTCCTCTTAGTGTATAGCCTGCTGTTCTAACTCAAGACCTAGGAAAAGAGCCCAAGAACTAAGAAAACTGACCCTTACCCATCGAAGAAGACAGAAGAAGTTTCCTACGTTTGTTGCATAACCTTCTATTGAGCTCAGCAGCAGGACCTAGAAATGGAGCCCAAGAACTTAGAAGACCAAGCCTTACCCATCAGAAGAGAAAAAAGATAGTGCTTACCTGTGTGGCAGTATTAGCGACGTGGTCACACGCCTCCAGGATGTGATCAACCGCGGCCATGTTCCTCTGGCGGACTGAAGCGACCTTCATGACCAGGGTGCGCGTCTCCCGGGTCACCCTGGTGTCCAGGGCAGTATGGACAGGTTCCCCTTGCAGCATAATCTACTGTTCTAACTCAGGATCTAAGAAAAGAGCCCAAGAACTAAGATAACTGAGGACCTAGTGTGAGTTTACATCAAACGCGCTCACCAGTAAGCACGGCAAAAAATGACATTAAATGTATGACGGCTTGTACAGCGCCCCTAGCGGGAAACGTTCACAAACTAAAATTTTCATACCTTTTTTTAAACGCGCTCACTCACACTCAGCCCACTGATCCTTCCCCATCGAAGAAGTTTCCTACGTTTGCTGCATAACCTTCTACTGCGTTGAGGACCTAGGAAAGGAGCCTAAGAACTTAGAAAACAGACCCTTACATATCGAAAAAGACAGAAGAAGATTTCTACCTGTGTGGCAGTGTTAGCGACATGGTCACACGCCTCCAGGATGTGATCAACGGCGGCCATGTTCCTCTGGCGGACTGAAGCGACCTTCATGACCAGGGTACGCGTCTCCCGGGTCACCCTGGTGTCCACGAGCAGTATCCGAAGGTTGAGCCGGGCGTCGATGGCCCTGGGCTTGGTGCCCTTCTTGAAGGAGACGAGGGAGCCGAAGGTGCATATTGCGTTGTCGATCCCTGGAATTCAAGGTGAATTATGAGCCTCTTTGTATATTTGTTTCAAACTTTTTACACATAAAACATTCCGACAAATGCCGAATTCAATGCCTACTTCAACTTTTTGTCTTATGTTTAGTAACTTTTTGAGGGCACCACCGTTTATGAGCTGTCATGGCGTAGTTAAGCTTCAACCACACCAACGCATGCGACCAAAGGAAACTTGGACTTGACACATTATTCTTCTGCGAAACCACATGTCAAGACTTTCAAGTGTCTCTTGCTGGAGCAAAGGTCGAGCGTCCAACCGTAAACCTTGAACCAGTTTCAGAATTTATTAACTTTTGGTTAAAGGCCATTTACAATGATCTGACAGAATGTCAAATATTAAAATTCACTAACAGGGCCAGTAGCGGCGTAAGGGGAGGGCGGTGGGGGCGGTCCGCCCCGGGTGCCAAGCATCAGGGGGTGACACAAGTCGCGCAGATTAGTACTCACTGACTCATCTGCATGGCAAATCTGCGGTCTATGTCATGATACGGGGGGTGCGATTATCTTTCAATCTTCGAAACGGTAGGTAACCCCAAAATCCGGGGGGGTACCANGGGGGGGGGGTGATCGCCCCGGGTGCCAACCCATGCTACGCCGCCACTGAACAGGGCCAGCTCACGCAGTCGTAGAATTAGCAGTCCGTTTACTATTTACTTAGTATACTTGCTCTTAATAATTTTACCAATGTCCATAGGGCTTAGTGTGAGTTTACATCAACGTCCTTACTAGTGAGCGCGTAAAAAATGACATTAAATGTATGACGGATGAAACTCACACTAAGCCCTCTGAGAGCTGAGTGTGAGTTTACATTAAAAGTCCTCACTAGTGAGCGCGTAAAAAAATTACATTAAATGTATGACGGATGAAACTCACACTAAGCCCCCTGAGAGCTGAGTGTGAGTTTACATTAAAAGTCCTCACTAGTGAGCGCGTTAAAACAAATATATGAAGATTTTAGTTCTTGAAAGTTTCCGATAGGGTCGCTGTACAATCCGTCATCGCGTCATATAGACGACCCACGCTGAACTGTCCCACCAAACTCTATGACAGGGGGGCGCTACCATCGTTCAACTAATATGGTTTCAAACATGGAAAAAATCTGAACCAGCGATCCGGTATTGACGGTGGCGCCCCTCTGTCAATGTCATGCATAGGACAGTTCAGTATTTTGGAACTATACACTGAATGTCACTTTTTTACGCAGTCGACATCGAATGCCTTTGACGTAAACTCACACTACCGCCCCCAGAAGATGTACCTTCAGCCTTAGTGACTATACGATTACATTTGTTAGAGATGGACAAACATAACACATTATTATGTACCAAACCTACGCATGCGGAACCACGGGCAAGGGCTACGCCATAAAAATATTTGCGGGCACATTACGTAGTTCAACAAACAATGCTTAGCAAAGCCTACGTGTTTCGGTTACGATGGTTCAATGTTACGTTGCATAAGCCATGGCGTTATGTCACCGGCTGGTTATAGTTAATAGTGCTGCGCGAGTGTCGATATTTTGAGACCTTGAAAATTGGTATCAATAGCCTATTAGGCTAAATGACAAAATTTCAACTATTTGTCCGTCATACAGATATTAGAAAATATTAGACTCATATTTTTTATTTTCTTTCATAATTAAATAATAACAGTGCCACATCGAGTTGAAATGGCGCGATACGTCACGCTTGAATAGAATTTTTACTCAAAAGTGACGTCACGCGACATTTCAACTCAATATAATACTGTAATTATTCGATTATGGAAAAAAATAAAAAATATGAGTCTAATATTTTCTAACTATCTGTCTGACGGACTAAATAGAATTTCGATTTCATTACTCAGTCATCATCCCTATTGCATATCCAAGCTGATGCTATTCATGTTTGTATCACCTATTCGTTTCGTGAACGCCGGTTCCACACGTTGGTAACTATAGAATTGGTGGTTGGCACCAACGTTGGGACAAGATATTTTCTAAATCCACAAGTTTGACGAATGTCGTTGGGACCAACATTGCACGCGGCATGTTGAAGGAAGGGCGTTGTGACCAACATTGGGGTCAACGTGTGAGACCTCCTGCCCTGCCGAAGACTTTTTGTACCTCGGATTCATATTTATATGAGCAGTCAAAACACAATTCTCGCATTGATTTCGAATAGGAACAGGAATCTCGGACATCACTTTGCAAACTCAATTAATTAACTATTTATTAAAGAAAGTATTCGACTTTTTATTTTACTATTCAATTATTATAAAATAAAACAGCTATAACACGTTAATGGTATTGCCGACTATCATGCATTACTGCTATTAATTAATATATCGACAGGTTTAGTGTTCTCGATAAAAAACAACACTAAAACTAACTGTAAGTGGTGTAAACCTATTACTGGCCAATGACTGGACCTAATATCTTTTAATCGATACGTTCGTTCGTTTCAGCCGAAAGACGTCCACTGCTGGACAAAGGCCTCCCCCAAGGATTTCCACAAAGACCGGTCCTGCGCCGCTTGCATCCAGGCACTTCCCGCGACCTTCACCAGATCGTCGGTCCACCTAGTGGGAGGCCTGCCCACGCTACGTCTTCCAGCTCGTGGTCGCCACTCAAGAACTTTTCTGCCCCAGCGGCCGATACATGCGTTATCAATCGATAAGAACTCAGGAATGGAAACCTACAAGTTTTCTAATGAGTCTTAAGTCATCATAAACAATTAAATTGAAATATAAAAGCAATTAACAAAAATTATACTTAGGCATTTAAAAATACGAAATAATTGTGCCAGTCTGTCTGTATACATTTTAAATAACTATCCAAGAGCTAATGAAAAAAAAAACAGAATAAAATTAATTATAAAGACTACTAAGAAAATTTATTTAAAATGACCATTTACATATTATCATCGACCATCTATATATGTATATAAAAGAAAGTCGTGTTAGTTACTCCACTTATAACTCAAGAACGGCTGAACCGATTTAGCTGAAAATAGTCAGGGAGGTAGTTTAGAGCCAGGAGAAGGACATAGGACATAGATTTTTATCCCGTTCGAAATAAAAAAAAAGTCTGCTTATTTATTGCCATTAAGGCGGAACAAAGTTCGCCGGGTCAGCTAGTTATTTATAATCGATTCAGATATTTTTTAGAGGCTCAGGTTATTATATCACGTAGAGTGTAGTAATACTAATAAAGTATATTCAAGTACAGAAAACAATTAAAATTATTGGATTATGTAATTAAAATTTATAAATTCGAAATAACAAAATGCCGATAAAGTGCGTGCAAATGCCTCATCATTAGTAAACACAATAATATTTAAGTACGAGTTTTACTATAAAGTATTACATGCCAATACTGCTCGTATATGAGTATATTAGGAATATAGATGTAGGCTGAAGAATAAAATAGAACGAATCCTAGAAAGTTTACTTCTAACATATTTGTACGTTTTTGAGTTATTTTTACTATTTTTTTTATTTCTCTGTATTTTTTTTATTTATTGACGCAAGTGTCACAACTTTCATTATCCAAAACATAAACAGTTAAATTGTTAACAAAAAAAGAAACTGATAAAAATATGATTATAAGTAGTAGGAAAAAAAATAGTAAAAAAATTCCACCTGTGTGACATTTGTGTTAACATTTATTTATTGTCTCAACTAAAATAATATTTCTCCTTTAAATTCGGAACCTTCACTTTGTCAATTGCAAGATAACTTAAAATCGTCGTTTTAAAAGGTTTCCTACATCAACAAATGTGTATTAATTCATACTTAATTACATAGATGACACAGTTCTGCCGATGAGTTGTTGAATAGGAAAAAGTTTTTATTGTTACTTTCCGATTATTATTCCATTTTTCGCACCTCAATATTAGAGACAGATCAAGAAATATTGCCAAATTGGTCTCGCCAGGGTCATCTTTTGCATTGAGAGACTCATCTTTATTTATTTAGATTATTATTACTGTCTAAATATGCATAGAGGAGCTAAAAGTGTGGCTAATATCTTTTACCTTATTTTAATCTTAACTTTTTAATTCACTATAGAGAAAAGAGAATACACTAAGGCTGAGTTGCACCAACTTCTATTTTGTGACACCACTATAAATCGTAATGTGGCATGCAATAAACGTTTTGAATTTAAACTTACTTTTTAACCGTAACTGTAACAATGACCGGTGTTTTTTGTATGGAGTTTGACAGATATTTGACGTTTGTTAAAGCTAAAGTAAGGTTCAACTCAGCCTAAGGCAAGGGTGAATAGGCACTTTCTAGACATATCAACCGCCCGCAAAAAACCGATCCGTTTTAATTTGCCGAGTGAACACACCTGTGATCCTGCAAAATTATATTGCCGCAGGAAAGGGCACTATGGGCTTGATCCCATTGAGACATCCCGTTTATTGCAGGATTCCTTTTAGTAATATACGTGTTTTAGTCACTAGCTTTCCGCCCGCGGCTTCGCCCGCGTGGAAATTTGTCTGTCACAGAAAAACTTTATCGCGCGCGTCCCTGTTTCAAAAACCGAGATAAAAACTATCCTATGTCCTTTCCCGGGACTCAAACTATCTCTATGCCAAATTTAATTAAAATCGGTTCAGTGGTTTAGGCGTGAAAGCGTGACAGACAGACAGACAAGAAAGAGTTACTTTCGCATTTATAATATTAGTATAGATTGGGGGAGGCCTATGTTCAGCAGTGGACGTCCTATGGCTGAAACGATGATAATGAATATAACCTTCACATCGCACGAACATGACGTTAGCAGTGTCCCGCAAATAACCGATCCGTTCGATTGGCCGTGTGACCATTTGGGATCCTCCTGCATTACTGAATCCCGCAAAACTGGAATGCCGTGGGAAGGGGCCCACAAAGATTGAGAACCGCTGTCCGATGGCACAGACAGCATGTCATTATTTTGTATACAACCGCCGAGTAAATGAAATTGACCTCTGCTGCATTCGTGTCAAGGCTGCGCCGCGGCTTCAATGCCCGTTCGAATTCGTATGCGTAAGTAATTTATGTATTGGTTATGTGCTTAGTAAATACATAATTACATTTTAGAAACTACATACATCGTAGTTGCTGGTCTCATCATCATTTCAGCCAGTGCTGAACATAGGCCTCCACTTCTACATCGCCCGGTTGGTAGCGGCCTGCATCCAGCGCCTTCCTGCTACCTTTATTAGGTCGTCAGTCCACTTTGTGGGTGGACGTCGCACGTTTCACGTGGTTTCGTTGTAGTAGGTAATATTAAAAGACGATGAGCCAATAACGAACAAACAACAGTGCTTATTTTAGTAACATTCATCCCTCAACCCGAGGGATTCGAAACCGCTACCAAAAGTAGTTTCAATCAGAATTTCGTCATTTTAGAGAAGTTTTAAAATGTTATTGATCTTTGTCACAAGAAATTTAAAAGCATCATAAAAACTTCTTACCCCTTTCAGACCTGAAAATTTTTTTCTACAAAATTTATGTTTTCTCGGATTTTATGTAACATTTGGTCCATAAGGAAGACAAGAAAAATAATATAAAAATTTTTCGACTTTCCAATTTTTCAGAAAAGTGCCCGCACTANTATTTTAGCAATTTAATTCACAAAATCAATTGCACACATTTAAAATAAAGTTTGTTTACACTTTGACAACAATAGACTGACATGCAAGGTGACATGTCAATGAAGTTTTCAGTTACTGTTGCCATTAAAAGAAATTAGTACCATTAGTTTTCCGCAACATGGCGAGGGTTTTTATGTTCCTGGTCAGGCTATAATAAGAAGTTCAATTATTTTCTGATGTTTCATGCTTTTTAATATAATAATGTTTATTTATCAAATAAAACATTTTCATTTTCAATTCATTTTTAATTTTCAATGTAAGTAATAAAAAGACGTGACTACTATTTTTATTATTTTAATTAAAAATAAGTGCTTTTTGATGTTCGCGAATTATGAAGCTCATGTCCTAGGATACTAGCTCAGGACCTAGGAAAGGAAGGCAAGAACTTATTGAGCGCTCCCCAACTTTTGGGAGACGATAGAAGGAGATTCTTCCTGTGTGACTGCCTTAGTGATGTGGATGTGGTTGCCCTTTGGTGCATAACCTTCTGATGCGCTCAGGACCTAGGAAAGGAGCCCAATAACTTAGAAGACTGACCCTTTCCCATCAAAAGATACAAAAGAAGATGCCTACCTGTATGGCACTATTAGTGACGTGGACATGGTTCCCCTTTTGTTGCATAACCTTATACTGTGTTCAGAACCTAGGAAAGGAGCCCTATAACTTAGAAAACTGACCCTTTCCCATCAGAAGAGACGATGCGCGATTGTCCAGAGCAGTATGGATGGATCACCGGTTCCTTTGTGTATAAAGTTATCCCTAACCCAAAGAATAAAGTGAGAGAAGATGCCTACCTGTGTGGCAGTGTTAGCGACGTGGTCACACGCCTCCAGGATGTGATCGACGGCCGCCATGTTCCTCTGGCGGACTGAAGCGACCTTCATGACCAGGGTGCGCGTCTCCCGGGTCACCCTGGTGTCCAGAGCAGTATAGACAAGTTCCCCTTGCAGCATAATCTACTGTTCTAACTCAGGATTTAAGAAAAGAGCCCAAGAACTAAGATAACTGAGGACCTGGTGTGAGTTTACATCAAACGCGCTCACCAGTAAGCACGGCAAAAAATGACATTAAATGTATGACGGCTTGTACAGCGCCCCTAGCGGGAAACGTTCAAAAACTAAAATTTTCATACCTTTTTTTAAACGCGCTCACTCACACTCAGCCCACTGATCCTTTCCCATCGAAGAAGTTTCTTACGTTTGCTGCATAACCTTCTACTGCGTTGAGGACCTAGGAAAGGAGCCTAAGAACTTAGAAAACAGACCCTTACATATCGAAAAAGACAGAAGAAGATTTCTACCTGTGTGGCAGTGTTAGCGACATGGTCACACGCCTCCAGGATGTGATCAACGGCGGCCATGTTCCTCTGGCGGACTGAAGCGACCTTCATGACCAGGGTACGCGTCTCTCGAGTCACCCTGGTGTCCACGAGCAGTATCCGAAGGTTGAGCCGCGCGTCGATGGCCCTGGGCTTGGTGCCCTTCTTGAAGGAGACGAGGGAGCCGAAGGTGCATATTGCGTTGTCGATCCCTGGAATTCAAGGTTAATTATGAGCCTCTTATTTGTTTCTAACTTTTTACAAATAAAATACAAACGCCGAATTCAATGCCTACTTCAACTTTTTGTCTTATGTTTACTAACTTTTTGAGGGCACTACCGATTATGAGCTGTCATAGCGTAGTTAAGCTTCATCCACACCAACGCCTGCATATCACCATCGCCGGCGCGATCAAAGGCCAATGACAGGTCGCGCGACCTATGACAGTTCACGCGATCTGTCATTGGCCTTTGATCGCGCCGTAATCGCGCAGGCGATGGCGATCTGCAAGCGTTGGTGTGGTTGAAGCTTTATTGTTGAAACTTGGACTTGACACATTATTTTGCTGTGAGACCACATGTCAAGACTTTCAAGTGTCTCTTGCTGAAGCAAAAGGTCGAGTGTCCAACGGTAAACCTTGAACCAGTTTCAGAATTTATCAACTTTTGGTTAAAAGGCCATCCATAATGATCTGACAGAATGTCAGATATTAAAATTCACTAACAGGGCCAGTTCACGCAGTTTTACAATTAGCAGTTCGTGTACAATTTACCTAGTTTACTTGCTCTTTATAATTTTATCAACGTCCAGGGCTTAGTGTGATTTTACATCAAACGTCCTCACTAGTGAGCGCGTTAAAAAAAATGAAGATTTTAGTTCTTGAAAGTTTCCGATAGGGGCGCTGTACAATCCGTCATCGCGTCATATAGACGACCCACGCTGAACTGTCCCACCAAACTCAATGACAGGGGGGCGCTACCATCGTTCAACTATATGGTTTCAAACATGGCAAAAATCTGAACCAGCGATCCGGTATTGACGGTGGCGCCCCTCTGTCAATGTCATGCATAGGACAGTTCAGTATTTTGGAACTATACACTGAATGTCACTTTTTTACGCAGTCGACATCGATGCCTTTGACGTAATCTCACACTACGCCCCCAGAAGATGCCTGTTCACTCGTACCTTCAGCCTGGGTTGACTTTACGATTACATTTGTTAGAGATGGTCAAACATAACACATTATGTACAGTCGACAGCACATCAAGCTATACATTTTCGTTGCAAAGTCGCCCCTATCGCAACTACGTAAGATACCACAGTGTTTACGTTGACGTGCTGTTGACCGTACCAAAACCTACGCATGCGGAACCACGGGCAAGGGCTGCGCCATAAAAATATTTGCTAGCACATTACGTAGTTCAACAAACAATGCTTAGCAAAGCCTACGTGTTTCGGTTACGATGGTTCAATGTTACATTGCATAAGCCATGGCGTTATGTCACCGGCTGGTTATCGTTAATAGTGCTACGCGAGTGTCGATGTTCTGAGACCTTGAAAATTGGTAACTATGGCGATATAATTGCATCTCCAAGCTGATGCTATTCATGTTTGTATCACCTATTCGTTTCATGAGTATTCCACACGTTTGGTTCCAACGTTGCGTTTTGGTTACGTTGGTCCCAAAACACCACTTGAACTACGTGTGGATCTAGAAAATACTCGTAGTATTGGTGGTTGGCACCAACGTTGGGACTAGATATTTTCTACATCCACACTTTTGAGGAAGGGACGTTGGGACCAACATTGGGAGCAACGTGTGGGACCTGCCCTGTGGAACTTTTGTACCTCCAATTCATATTTTTATGAACAGACAAAACACAATTCTCGCATTGATTTCGAATAGGAACAGGAATCTCGGACATCACTTTGCAAACTCAATTAATTAATAACTATTTATTAAAGAAAGTATTCGACTTTTTATTTTACTATTCAATTATTATAAAATAAAACAGCTATAACACGTTAATGGTATTGCCGACTATCATGCATTACTGCTATTAATTAATATATCGACAGGTTTAGTGTTATCGATAAAAAACAACACTACAACTAACTGTAAGTAGTGTAAACCTATTACTGGCCAATGACTGGACCTAATACCTTTTAATCGATACATGCGTTAGCAATCGGTAAGAATTTAGGAATGGAAACCTACAAGTTTGGTAATGAGTCTTAAGTCATCATAAACAATTAAATTGAAATATAAAAGCAATTAACAAAAGTTATACTTAGGTATTTTAAAATACGAAATAATTGTGCCAGTCTGTCTGTATACATTTTAAATAACTATCCAAGAGCTAATGAAAAAAAAATCAGTATAAAATTAATTATAAAGACTACTAAGAAAATTTATTTAAAATGACCATTTATATATTTATTATCATCGACCATTATTTATAATCGATTCAGATATTTTTTTAGAGCATATTCAAGTACAGAAAACAATTAATTATTGGATTATGTAATTAAAACTTATATTTTCGAACAAAATGCCGACAAAGTGCGTGCAAGTGTCTCATTAGTAAACACAATAATATTTACGAGTTTTATTATAGAGTACTAGCTTTCCGCCCGCGGCTTCGCCCGCGTGGAATTTTGTCTGTCACAGAAAAACTTTATCGCGCGCGTCCCTGTTTCAAAAACCGGGATAAAAACTATCCTATGTTCTTTCCCGGGACTCAAACTATCTCTATGCCAAATTTCATCAAAATCGGTTTCGAGGTTTAAGCGGGAAAGCGTAACAGACAGACAGACAGACAGAGTTACTTTCGCATTTATAATATTAGTTGGGATTACATGCCAATACTGCTCGTATATGAGTATATCTTCACTAATATTATAAAGAGGAAAACTTTGTTTGTTTGATTGGTTGTAATGAATAGGCTCAAAAACTACTGGACCGTTTTTAAAAATTCTTTCACCATTCGAAAGCTACATTATCCACGAGTAACATAGGCTAAATTTTATTTTGGAAAAAAATAGGGTTCCGTAAAATATGTAGATAATGTAGTCCACGCGCGCGAAGCCGCGGGCGGGAAGCTATTTAGGAATATAGGTAGGCTGAAGAATAATAGAAAAAAGTTATTCTAACATATAAAGTTACTTATAACATATTTGTACGTTTTTGAGTTATTTTTACATTTTTTTTATTTCTCTGATGTTTTTTTTTATTTACTGACGCAAGTTTCACAACTTTTATTATCCATAACATAAACAGTTGAATTGTTAACGAAAAAAGAAACCGACAAAAATATGATTATAAGTCTAGGAAAAAAATATTTTAAAAAATCCACAAGTCACAAGTTGGGACAAGGCTGGGACATTTGTGTCAACATTTATTTATTGTCTCAACTAAAATAATATTTCTCCTTTAAATTCGGAACATTTCACTTTTCGATTGCAAGATAACTTAAAATAGTCGTTTTAAAAGGTTTCCTGCATCAACAAATGTGTATTAATTCATACTTAATTACATAGATGACACAGTTCTGCCGATGAGTTGTTGAATAGGAAAAAGTTTTTATTGTTACTTCCTGACTATTAAATTTTTCTTTCGTAAGAACATTTTTCGCACCTCAATATTAGAGACAGATCAAGAAATATTGCCAAATCGGTCCAGCCAAGGTCATCTTTTGCATTGAGAGACTCATCTTTATTTATTTAGATTATTATTTCTGTCTAAAATACGCATAGAGGTGCTAAAAGTGTGGCTAATATCTTTTACCTTATTTTAATCTTAACTTTTTAATTCACTATAGAGAAAAGAGAATACACTAAGGCTGAGAAGCACCAACTTCTATTTTGTAACATCACTATAAATTGTAATGTGACATGCAATAAACGTTTTGAATTTGAACTTACTTTAACCGTAACTTTTTGTATGTAGTTTGACAGATATTTGACATTTTGTTAAAGCTAAACTAAGATGGTGCAAGTCAGCCTAAGGCAAGGGCGAACAGGCACTTTCTAGACTTATCAACCTCCCGCAAAAAACCGATCCGTTTTAATTTGCCGAGTGAACACACCTGTGATCCTGCAAAATTATATTGCCGCAGGAAAAGGTACTATTTATTGCAGGATTCCTTTTAGTAATATACGTGTTTTATTATAATCATATAAGTCACTAGCTTTCCGCCCGCGGCTTCGCCCGCGTGGAATTTTGTCTGTCACAGCAAAACTTTATCGCGCGCGTCCCTGTTTCAAAAACTGGGATAAAAACTACCCTATGTCCTTTCCCGGAACTCAAACTATCTCTATGCCAAATTTCATTAAAATCGGCTCAGTGGTTTAGGCGTGAAAGCGTGACAGACAGACAGACTGAGTTACTTTCGCATTTATAATATTATAGTATATAGTATAGATTGGGGAGGCCTATGTTCAGCAGTGGACGTCCTATGGCTGAAACGATGATGATGAATATAACCTTCACATCGCACGAACATGACGTTAGTAGTGTCCCGCAAATAGCCGATCCGTTCGATTTGGCGTGTGACCATTTGGGATCCTCCTGCATTACTGAATCCCGCAAAACTAGAATGCCGTGGGAAGGGGCCCACAAAGATTGAGAACCGCTGTTCGACGGCACAGACAGCATGTCATTATTTTGTATACAACCGCCGAGTAAATGAAATTGACCTCTACTGCATTCGTGTCAAGGCTGCGCCGCGGCTTCAATGCCCGTTCGAATTCGTATGCGTAAATTATTTATGTATTGGTTATGTGCTTAATAAATACATAATTACATTTTAGAAACTACATACATCGTAGTTGCTGGTCTCATCATCATTTCAGCCAGTGCTGAACATAGGCCTCCACTTCTACATCGCCCGGTTGGTAGCGGCCTGCATCCAGCGCCTTCCTGCTACCTTTATTAGGTCGTCGGTTCACTTTGTAGGTGGACGTCGCACGTTTCACGTGGTTTCGTTGTAGTAGATAATATTAAAAGACAATGGGCCAATGACGAACAAACAACACTGCTTATTTTAGTAACATTCCCTACCCGAGGGATTCGATACCGCTACCAAAAGTAGTTTCAATCAGAATTTCGTCATTTTAGAGAAGTTTTAAAATGTTATTGATCTTTGTCACAAGAAATAAAAAGCAGCATAAAAACTTCCCTACATACTGTACACAACACAATGATGTATATAGGTACCTACACCTACTAAGTGCATTTTTTCACACAGTTAAAGATTTGTATTGTTTCAGTTCGCGACGGGACTTAGGGGGTTAAAGGGGGTTAATACCTACGCCTTTCTTAGGTACATGGGACTATCTACTCTCCCATAGATATAGTATGGGGACTATGACGTCATGAAGTCGCATTAATTTAATGGTTGTTAGATACGAAAATACAACTTAGAGACCTTCGATTTCCGAAGGTATAATTATGTCAGGGTGTGGACAATTATTTTTCCTTTCAATGGTGCTACCACATCACATACAACATAATGATAAAATACTGGCATGAAAACTAATAAAACTCATTTTATTTTTGCATGCAGGCTTTTAAAAAACCGACTCCAAAAAACCTACACTAAAACGTAGAAAAATAATTACTAATTACCTACTTATTTATTAGGACGAATTATTAATATTTATGTAGGTATACCATGATTGATACTTCTGGAGTCGGTGCCAAGATTATGAAACATGTAAAGTTTGCCTGCACCGACTCCAAAAGTATCAATCATNAAAGAGTTAAATTTAAAAATGACTACTATTTGAATTAAATATCCAAAAAAACAATACGCACGAGCGTGCCGTTTTTTCCGTTTAAAAATGAATTTAAACCGAACTGCTACGATAGTGCGCATTAAATTGAAGTTAGTTTTAAGTAAGCAATACTATAAATTATTTTAATGGTTTTTCATTTATTTATTAGAATACAATATTTACTTTATAATTTATAACATTTTAAAAACAATACTAGGAAAATACTATTTTTTTATATATGTACCTCTCCGGGAGTTCGCGCCTAAAAATTCTGACATCTTTCACAATCGCTGTCCGGCGACCAACAGCCCGCAAGAGTTTCCTATATTTTTTATTAAAAGTATCATAATACGCACGATCGCCGTGTATCGATTTCGTTCCGAAAAACAAAATTTTGCCAAGCAAATTTTTATTTTAAGTCAATGCGCACGCTTATTTAAGTAAGGTCTGAAAGGGATACTGTACACAACACAATGATGCATACCTAGACCTACGAAGTGCATTTTTTCACACAGTTAAAGATTTGTATTGTTTCAGTTCGCGACGGGACTTGAGGGGTTAAAGGGGGTTAATACCTACGCCTGTCTTAGGTACATGGGACTATCTACTCTCCCATAGATATAGTATGGGGGCTATGACGTCTTTATGTCGCAAACTCAATTAAATTAATGGTTGTTACGTACGAAAATACAACTTATAGACCTTCGATTTCCGAAGGTATAATTATGTCAGGGTTTGGACAATTATTTTCCCTTTTAATGGTGCTACCATCACATACAACATTATTATGATAAAATATTGGCATGAAAACTCATTTTATTTTTGCATGCAGGCTTTTAAAAAGCACTTTTACACGTCCCAGTATTAACCCTACCACTGCTTTGGGAAAATAAATGGGCCAGTGCTGGAAAGAAGCGCAAGTAGCGCATATTATGAAGTTAGAAAACGAAATATGAAGTAAGGTTCATTTTTAAAAGCTCTTTATAAACATTTATTTATTTTATTTATTTATTTATTTATTTATTTATTAAAGACATTGAACTAATTTTAACTAACAAGTTAATATATTCGGCATACGAAACATTATTGGCATTGGGCTGTTAGCACTTTACGACAAATATGGCAAATGTTTGCTTAAAGCAAAAAAAAACATAGCACTGTAAATATGTATGTACAAACAGACTACATTTTTGGAGCAAATTCGTATTTATTACAAGTACATAAGGTGTCACGGTGTATAGCTTGATCTGCCATTGGCATACGCGAAATGCTTATCAGTTGTGCCTATCTGGTCTTGCTTTAGTGTTTTTTCAAGATTATCCGAGCATTCTTAAAACTAACCAGTAATAAGTAGCTACCGTGTAAGTAGTATAGTCATAAATGTTTATTGCATCATGTTGGTAGTAACATCAGTAGTTTAAATGTCGTATTTACTCTAGATAGGATAGTTTTATGTTTTTCTGCTTAATTTCGTTGCGGGTCCAATGACAGTTTAACTTCCCCCGGGACAAACTTGACCTTCACTGGTTGGGTTTTTATGGCGGTCAAGCTGTAGATCCTGGCTACACAGGAGTTGCAGCGGTGGAAACGAGAGGTGGGAATAGTCCCGATTAGTTAGGATAGTTTTTTACAACTTATACTTATCAAGTAGTCTGTATAATACACCCGTATTCACAAACATTACTATGCGGTCTCATAGTGCGCATGGACGCACAAGGTCCTTCATAGACAATACTGAGTGGCGGAGTGACACACGAACCAACCACAGAGCTTTATTCAACGCTGTGCGTTCGACTTCGCATGGAGTTGCTGCTTCACTTAAGCAAGCATCGTTTGTGAATACGGGTGTAACGTTAAGAGTAGGCGCACACCGTTGATTTTTCGTCGGCCGATAGTTTAGGCGGGCAGTTGATCAGTATGGGCATGTATGGGAGTGCGCACACTACGCCGATTCGATTTGGCCGATTCTTCATACAAATTAAAATAGGGCACAACTATCGGCCAACTAAAAATCAACGGTGTGCGCCTACTCTAAAACTACGATAACAAATAAAGGAAACTCACCAGAAGGCGTTTCGTGCATGATCTTCTCACAGTTATAAGCCCACTCCGAAATGGTCTCCTTCTCAGTCATCGTGAAGTCCTCATCATAGAACGCATCGTAGTTGGTGGAACTCTTCAGTTTGAGGAGCTGTATGAGGGCACCCGCCAGGCAGACAGCAAAGGACGCTGAACTACCAGTTCCTGCACCAATTGTTAGCTCGGAGCCCATAGAGATGTCCATGGACTTCACGGGCATGTTCGTGCTTCCGAATATTCCAGAAAACATGTATAAAAAGCTTCGTAAGGAGTTCTTTTGGTTGCTCGGGAGCGTGTCGAAGTTAGGCTTGATGATGTGGAGGAATTCCTCGACTCGTTTTAAGTGGAGGTCATGGTCGAGTTTGTCTGGTAGCCGCCAAGAGAACTTCCCAGTGATGCCTGGGAGGAGACGCGGGCAGAAGAGAGCCTTCACGGTGGGGGCTAGTGGGATCACCTCCTGGAGGTCCACGCTTGGCATGTGGATGTACACGGCGGGGTCCTTCACTGTGTTGATCTCCTGAAAAGTTATTGCAAATTAGTATTTTTTTATTTAAGAAAAATTAATTAAAGGTATATTTTTGTGTGAGGATTTTGGGAAATTCGTTCCCAAAAGCCCCCACTGTTTTTTGAATTTTCCTAATGATTGTTAAGGAATGTGGATGAATTCTCTCAGCAGTTTTATTTTTAGAAAATGTGTATTAATCTTTAGTAAATACATTTAGTAAATAAATACACTGTAGTAGTAGGTACATTATTTTAGAAATAAGTTAACAATGAAAATCCGTTCAGAAAATAAAAGGTACCTACGGTAGTTAAAAGAGACATGCAAATGCAAATAGGTATACACTTTTTTTTTGTAATCTTGTAAACAATATTACTTTAAATTTGTAATTAGTTTTTTATAAATGTTGTGTAGGCATCGTTTAAAAAATATGGCATTTTAAACATCGAATACTTAAGAACAATGTTCTTCAGTAATATACCTATTATTTAAATTGAAATGATGAAAGTGTGAGCGTTGTAAATAATGCCCAACAACTTTACATTCACAGTGCGGATTTTGGTTTGACAGACGATCTATTACAGGCCCGACGTTTTAAATGCAAGCCTGTGCATGGCGTGCTGGCATGTTAAACAGTGACTTATATAATTTAAGTACATATCCAGTTTGAGTGCAATGTGTTAAGTATTGTTTCATTGTTAACTGATAGTTAAAAGCCATAAAAATCACACGACAGTTTTCCTGTTACAAAAATTACATAATATTGAGGGCCCAGATAAATATTATTTGACTGTGTATAAATAAATGGTTGCAATAGCCACACCAATTTAATTACACCCAAACAACAGAGCTTGGCTTGTACCTGCTATTGTAATTGGATATCGCGTAAACACGAACCTATATCGATGACTAACCAAATTAAAAATTTGCTTGATATATTGTAAACAACATTTTAATTATGGAACTAAGTAGTGCAGTGCTGTGGTGGCCACTGGGAAAACTTAGTGCCATTTGCTCGGTTTTTTTTCCACTTCGATGATAAATAAGATTATGGTGCTTCGACGCTGCCAGTATCTTGTTGCTACTTAATAATTGGGATTTTAAATATTTTGAATAGTGGTAAAAGGTTCAATACATATTTAAATAGCCCAAGCAGCAAAACCTCGAACATCAATATGAATGTTGGCTTACGACGAGTGCAAATGCATTTCCGATAATGTCACGCTCGCCGGCGCACACGCACTGCACTGCACAAGCAAGCGTTGCGTTTGCTAGTCTAAGGCTTCTTACAAACGACAGCCGCGAAAATGCAGATTGAATGCCGTTCTATGCATTAACGACCAAACCAACTTTGAGCCCCAAGCCCTTAGCCAAAAGAGGCTGACAAAGGTGACCGAGTTTCTTCCGCCACTTCTCAGCAACAGCCCATATGTAGTCCCGAAGTGATGGAATGGCAAGCTATATTTGGGACGTGTACAAGTGCCCTGGAAAGGGCCTAAGAACTGAATAACTGATTTGAACCTGAACATGATGAGATCAAAACTTGTCTTTCGGAACCTCAATGTTAAAAATTTAGGGCTTCTATATTCTATCTCTCTCCTGCGTTTTGAGCGACCGCTCCTCTCGCTCTACCCCAGAGTAGTTCTAAAGACAGTATACTTCACTGCAATTCATTCGTTTTAGCCAAATGATGTCCACTGCTGGACAAAGTCGACTGCAGTTGCACCAATTAAAACTGTGCAGTTAACCTGCTATGTCCAGAAAGAACTCCACACAGACTCCAAGACGGTTGTGCAGTCAGTTTGAAGTTTTCTATAGCCACAACTGCTTTGCCACTTTTGTAAATCTTTAGAGTTTTCTATAGCCACAACTGAAAATTTGCAACTTTTGTAAATAAAGATTTTATTCTATTCTTCTTCTTTCCAGCCCGACTGTAAAGGCCCTAACCCATTAAGCGCTTGTACGATTTGTCAATGAGTGGTTCTACTAGTAATATTTGCCCAAACACAACAGCAATTACTTATCGTGTACATGACTGTATAGTCGACAGCACCTCGGACTATATTTTTTGTAAATAATACCAGAGTACCTAATCTATTACTTACCTACTGTACAACTTACATAAGATAATATAAAGGTTTAAGGTAATGTGCCGTCATCAGTACGTCATATCAAACGTATTATTTACTTGCTTATGAAGTAAATTCTTTAAATAAAACACCTATTTTCCTTTCCTAAATAACATTATTTTACAAGAATATACTGGTCAATAATGTAGAGTGCAAAAATCAAATATCCTTTTTGAAAATTTAATTGAATTTAATTCCCTTTTTTTTTAATGTTTGCTTACAGATAACAGGTATGTGCATTGTACAGAAATAAAAGGGTGTATCCTTTATCACAAAAAGTTTTTTTTTGAGCCAGCCCCATGTATGTGATCCATAAAAAAAGAAAAACATTAAAAACACGAAAAAACCTTAGAACCACCGACCAAAGCCTCTCCCTCAGTGTTTAGAGTAAGTGTCCTGTGTTAGCAAATAAATGAAAAACCTTACCTTGATCACGATGGAACTCCTCATGCCCAAACTAACGGCTATGGCGGTCTTCCCATAGACCACGGCATGCTCCCCATGCAGGATCACCTTCCCCGGCGCCGACACACTCACGGTATACAAATTATCCATCCCGTTGAACATTTTGGTATAGGATTGAAGAAAAACTACGGAGGTACTATATCATTTTATAATGGTTTCTACAATTTTACGACTGCGACTTCCATTGCTCGACCGTCAGGGTTTTCTGTGTGAACGCGTGGATGGTTTTCAGTTCTTCCTGAAGCACTGAGTTCACCAGTCTGGAAGAGAATAATTTATATTACTCCATGGCATTGTTATGGTAATGTATGGAAATGGGACCGTCAAGCGCGAGTTTGTTCCGTGTAATCGGTTCGACATACGCGATTTTTGGCTGTATGCTCTTTTTGGTTCGATTATGTGGAAAATCACAATTTACGTACAATCGACAAAATATCAGACAATTATACATTATTTGTTACAAAATAGCACCTATTACAATTCCTTAAGACGTCAGCGTTTGAGCTTATGTGATGTCGTACATTGACTGTACTTACGACTTCATTCACTTTACAGTTTGTAACGAATTGAAATAAAAACAAAAGAAGATAACGTTTAAACCAAGTCTGATCATGTGGCAAGAGATTAATTTCGGCATTTGAGAACATATAGGACGTAAAAAATAAATGCAAGGGGTCCTTATATCATTTTCTCTATATTCTGAGCAAAGTCACACTTTGACATTGGGTCCGACGCAGACTGTGCAGCACTTCGCAATATGCGTACTTTTTTATACAAATGTAAGGACTGAAGAGTTTGTTTCTATATTTGTATGGAAAAGTGCGCATTTAGCGAAGTGCACATTCTGCGTCAGACCCGAGACAAATATTACGGCAAATGCAAATAAAAATAAAAGCTAACCGTGTTTTTAATAGGGATAATGTAAGAGTATAAGGACGTTTCAAAATCTTAAGTAACCCTACTCAAGATGATCAATGTGCGCAATCCTGCGCTCGCGCCTATATCGGTAACAAATACAATAGGTTTTCCCTAAACAGATAAAATCTTCGCTCAATAGTGATGTAAATATTACCTTTTATGTTGAGATGATCCCAAAATACTATTTAAATGAGCCTGTCGACGCAATTTATTAATTTATGGGGTCGTTTTTTGCAATTTTCTCATAGACGTAAGTATGCATAAGAGGAACATGAATAAAACATGCACTGCAAAGTTTTACATACAATCAAAGAAAACGGTAGATTTTTTTGATGTCTTACGTCATCATCAGATATACCTACTTTATCGACGTCAAAAATTATGGACAAAATCTATAAAATGGCGTGATAACCGCTTATCGCAGCGCGCATCCTAGGCCTACAGGACAGATTTAATCAAAATCTGATCAGCTATTTTTTTGTAATATCTGTAATAATTTATAATGATATTTTCAATGGCCTTAAAATGACATAAGTCGTAAAACCAGTAAGACTTCGTCGTCAAACTAGGTTATTCAATATATCTCAAGACAAAGATGTAGAGCTATAATGGTCTACGCGTACGTGCTTAATGGCTCATAGGCTCTAACGCAGTACAAAAGACATTATTGTCATAATTGATAAAGATACCCAGGCAAAAGAAGGAAACTACACTTAACATCAAATAAACCGCACCTTCCGCGACGCGAACTTTAAGATTTTCTTCTGACACAATCATGGTACCCCAACAATATTGGTGTTATTTGAAAGCCCAATAAATATCCTTAAAGAAAAATACATTTCATTTCTAAATAAATGATTAACACATACCATAAATGTGACTTGAAAATAGACCTCACTTTGGGCTCACCTCTGGGATCAATCAGACCAATTTTTATGGTTATAAAACCAAATAAAGATCTCACGTGTCCTCTTTAACAGATGGATAGCGATTAATCCCAACTTAACAGTTTTATAGTCATAAAAAATGGCTATAGCGTAACTACCTATTTTTTGAAGAAGTGACTCGGGATCCTTGTAAAGACACATTTTTGGGGTAAAAACCTTTCCTTTAATGAAATGAAGTTTAGAACTAGGCTTTCAAATGGTACCAATGTTGGTGGGAAGTGGGGATGCATACGTTTGATAAGTGCTTGTCGCGGGAGGTGCGATTTATTTGATGCCGAGTGTATAATAAATCTAATAAATAAGCTTAAATACAGTTAAAATTCCCTAGATAATGAGATTCAATTGAATTAATTTCACTCTAAAAAGTAAGAAAGAAAGTAGGTACATCATCAGAAAAAACACGTGCCCCAATGGAGACTAAATGCCCTCATGATGTCATGATGATGATGATGATGTGGATGATGATGACATGACACACGATATTTTATTCGTATTAAGGCCTAAGGCATAGTTGAGTCAGTTAATTGAATTCGTGGACGAATAGGAATTAGGTATTAATGAGAATCGGAGAAAGTGACAAATCAAATGTTAATTTATTGATTAGAACTAAACACAGAAATGTCACACTGACGTTTGACGTACGAGTGACGTGTGTACTAGCACGCGACGTGGAGAAGGTAGGATTCTACACATTGACGCCGAAGAAGCCGACACGTTAGCGTCATTATTTGAAAGAATGTCGCGATGACGTCTCATAATTATTTTTTAAATTAAGATAGCACCTAGTCCTAAGACAAAATATTTATGTAAACCTTAAATCAATAAATATACGAGCTCGAAGGGCGTAAGTAGCTGGTTTTTTAAAATAAATTAATTCCCAGTTGCCCCCAGTGGAGGCGACTCTGAAGGGGGCAAATGGGAATAAACAAGCTACGAGTAAACGAGGAAAGCCTACCTAAAGTAACTAACCTATCCCGGTTTCCAGCTATGTGTGACATTGAAGGGTACATACAGGGTGGAATTTTGTAATGCCACCAGTCACCACAGAAGGGTTCTCTTTCTTTAAAAATAATAAAGGAATGTTTTACTTATTTGATTAAAAATTTTTCTTTCACTAAAATTTTCTATCTACAGTAACTTCCCTTCAGGTGGCATTACAAAATTCCATCCTGTAGAGATGGGGTATTATGGTGTACCTGTGTCGGGCAAGAAGCGGCTTTCCCTGGAACTTGTCTGACACAACGAGCACTGAGAACTTGGCGCCACACCCGTCGCTCTCATCTGTCACCTCCTGTGGACAAAGAAATGACCAAATTGAGACACCAATCTTCTAAGAGAACTGCTTTTCTTTAAGAGATTATGACCATAAGTTTGGTATACAGGCTATTTATAAAACAATGTAAAGTATAGAAGAAAAACTAAAGCTTCAACCACACCAACGAGCAGCCGATTTCCGAGCCAGTCATGCTGATTCAAGCTTATGATAGGGTAAATTCACCAATGACAAACATGAATCTATTTCTGAGGAAATAATCAAACACTTGTAAAGTTAATATGTACTTGAAATTAGTGCAATTATACTGGGTTATTTGTAAAATACCAGAACCTTCATGTTTGTCATTGGTGAATTCACCCAATCATAAGCTTGAATCAGCGTGACCCGCTGCGCAGGATCAACGAGTAACTTTATGGAAAAGTTTAATCGTCAATCAATCACAAATCACGATGTTCCTGTGGAGATCTTTATATCATCGAGATATGCAACTGGCACGGTTAAGATATATTTGACAGTTTATAAAATCAGTAAGGGCCATTCCAGCCCCCCTAGAGTCTAGACAAGTTGCAAATCCAATCGCTTTGCTTCTTGTCTATGGGTCTGCTGGCTTAAATCTTTGGCGGTTTAACAGTCTTTCATGAGTACTAACTAGCCCGGCAATACGTACCACATGTTTCAATGGGCCAAACTATAGTCACGCACGCTTGCACACCGGCGCACGCAGCGTCAAATTGTGGAGCAAGAAACCAATGAAGGATCATTTTGCATGTATTGAAGCAAACGTAGAAACTAAGTGAACTATTTCAACTTATATGTAACATCTTTAAGTACCATAGATTCTGATTCAAGTACCCGTAAGTACCCACGCAAGTTGGATGCAGAATTTTCGGTAGGTACATTTGGTTCTGGCATTTCTAGCTCTTTTCAACATGCGCGATAGAGTTAATTTCTAATTTAGAGATTACTCACTCAGCCGTGATTTTGGATCAATCTTTGAATCTTATTGGCCAATTTATGGTATTTGGTCTAATTCTATGGATACTATACCAAAAAATTACGAATACATGTGACTGTTAATACTGATCTACATTGTTGTATGTATGGCTCGTGAAACTTTATATTGTGGCATCTTATGGTTGTAGTAAATAAGTCCTATCGTTCGTTCGCTCGTTTCAGCCAAATGACGTCCACTGCTGGACAAAGGCCTCCCCCAAGGCTTTCCACAATTAACGGTCCTGCACTACCCGTATCCAGGATCATCCCGCGACCTTTACTAGATCATCGGTCCACCTAGTAGGAGGCCTACCTACGCTACGTCTTCCAGCCCGTGGTCGCCACTCGAGATCCTTTCTGCCCCAACGGCCATCGTCTCTACGAGCTATGTGCCCCGCCCACTACCAAAATAAGTCCTTTAACGTATCAAAAATGTATGAGTTTGATTTTATATTTGCAAACCATCTACATAATACAACTTAGCAACAATGGCAAGTAAAACACTTGACTATTAACATAACTCCTTAATGAGTCACTTTACTTAAACTGAGTTGCACCACTTATCTTTGACCGTAACTTTAACGATAACCGGTGTTTTGTGTATGGAGCTTGACAGATTTTTGACGTTTGTCAAAGCTAATGTAAGATGGTGCAACCCAGCCTTATTGTTTTTATTTGTTACCAAAATGTTCGTAGCTATGTTTAACATTAATTTCTTTTAATAGCAACGTATCAAAAATATTAAAAACGTCGTAATAAGTTGGTTATTTATTATTTTGATAAGTTTAATAAAAATAACGGAGTTTTAAGGTAACAAACAATGTACAGTCGACATCGCATTACACTCTACATTTTTATTGCAATAAAAAAGCAGTTACATCGACGTAAGATGCTACAATAGCTCGAAGTGCTATCGTCTGCATAAAAAATACAACAAAATTGAGAACCTCCTCATTTTTGCAGTCGGTTAATAAAATCACCCCCGTAATTGGGTAAAATCGCATATCGCGGACGCGACCCAGATCGGCGCGCGCGCATCCTTGAGAGCGGTCGCGCGGCAACAACTCAGGGTTGGCACACGCCTGTTTAATTAAACTATTTTATTTATAACCGACTTCAATTTCCTTTTAAAAAGAGTTTCATTAAATATAATATATGTTCGCCTGATTTTAAATAACAACAGTTTTCCCAACAATTCCTTTAGAAATTTTAATAACATCAAACACACTTCACATCTATTTTGTTTTTAAAGAACCGTTTAACAAGTACGAGTAATCCCTAGTCATAGTTTAAATGATCATCTTCATTTCTTAATTCTTCAAGTAAATGCTTTAAAATACAGACAATATGCGCAGTTTGGAAAACTAGTCAACTGTCTGGTTCGGTTCGACTTCGTACATTATCAAAAGTCTGTAACAGAATTCATAAATTGACTGATGAATCATATTTAAGAACATCTGGCAAATGTCACTCGTCGAATGCAGACACAGATAAATAAATTCGATTTCCTATAGCTAGGGTCTTTTAGTAGACTGGTAGAAGTCCCCTACCTAAAAATCACACTTCTCTTCTCTTCACACTACATGTGCGAGAAACCACCCCCTCTAAAGAAAATTCAGGAATCCCCTTGCTCCGGCGTTTTTGGGTGCAGTTTATTTCGCTGCGTGTAGCGATTTGGGAATACACTGTCAAAAATGCAACTTTGTCTAGCCACTCTAGTTCAACTTGGAAAGTCGGAACTATTCCCAACTCTCGTTCCCACCGCTGCAACTCCTAGCCAGGATCTACAGCTTGACCGCCAATGAAAACCCAACCAGTGAAGGTCAAGTTTATCCCGGGGGAAAGTTAAACTGTCATTGGACCCGTAACGAAATTAATCAGAAGAACCAGAGTAAATACAAATGAGTAGTAAATTCGGGGCAACTCACCGCTAATCCACGCTAAATTTTGTCAGTGTGTGCGTGCGCGCCGCATACGTATTGGCGCGCTCACATACAAACCGCGCTCGGTGGGTTTCTACGAAGATGACCTACTCATTTGTATTTGCTCTGGAAGAACATAGGAGTTCGAAGAAGGAGCCAGCCCTATCCATTGTTGTCAATTCGATCCAATTCGGGCACAATCGATCAAAGTCATGGACGATTGTCTGCCGCTCCAGATATCGAGTCGGCCATTGTGAACTGTGCCGTAACATGAGTAATCTTGTTAGGTGCCGTTTAGAGATGGAACATAATATCCTAATATTATAAATGCGAAAGTTTAGATGTCTAGATGTTTGTTACTCTTTCACGCAAAAACTACTGAAAGGACTATGATGAAACTTTACAGTATTATTGTTTATATCCCAGAATATCATATAGCAGAGGTGGCCAACCGGTCGATCGCGACTTTTAGTCCAGTCGATCGTGGCAAGGCAAAAAATAAATACTACATGATTGTGTACTAAACTATGCTGTTTCATTTAAGATTTCAAGAAGTATGTAAGTGGTAGATCACCCAGGGTTTCGTTAGTAAACAGTAGATCTTATGTCTAATCAAGTTGGCCACCCCTGACATATAGGCTATAATTTACGACGATCTGTGAGAAACTGAATTTACGCGGATGAAGCCGCGAGCAACAGCTAGTTTATTATAAGTTTTGCATATATGAGCTGTACAACCTGGCAACACAGGAGTCACTGAAATTGAACTGAAATTCCAGAAATCAAACTAACAGACTTAACCATGAATGATGACTTAGTAACGGATTTACTGATAAATAATAATCAATAAACCATGTATTATTATACTAAAAGAAAGATATTCATCACCAAAAAGGACGAAAAGAAGAAAAGAAAGGACAATAAGTTAAGGAATAAGACAACACTCAGCATCACAGCATCGTTTTTAGCTGAGCTGAGAGAGACAGACCTACAGTAATGAATGATGACCACGACACTACATAGTTTTCAGTATGTCCAAATATTTCGTAAACGCCCATAGTTCAAGTATGATGTTCGTGTTGCCTCACTAATATTTGGCTCCCGTGGGATTCCAATGGGCAACAAAATAAAAATAATTATATTTTTTACTGACGTCATATCACTAATGAGAACCTATATGTATTTCATTACCGTGACGTAATGGTTTAGCAACAAAACAAGCATCCCGTGACGCAAAGAAATCGATCGTCAGTTCACCGGACACGATTTGGCGTTTCCATTTTAATAATAACTTTAGTTTAATTAATTCCGAATCCGAAACACGTTACATAGTTAACAAAGTTGTACAGTAATTTGTTTGTGCGTACGCGCATTCAATTTTGTTGTTAACAGCACGTTTAATTAAGTAAATAACATTAGATTAATTATTTTATTTGTGTGTGCTGTCGAAATTGTAATTAATTACAAATAAATAGGATGTAATCAGAAAATTGTAATTTAATCTTGTTCACAGACTTAATTCACTGTTATAGTTGCACTAAGGATTGAAGAACCAAGATTTTAAGTACATATTTTGTATCCTAAGATTGCTACTGAATGCTAAGGGTGCGGTCAGCCTCTTATTTTGGAAAGATTTATTATCCAGTTAAAAGATATCTGACGATCGTAAAATCAGCCCTCATAGAAATAACACATGGTATTTTTGCCCGTCAAAAAATGTAAGGGGACTTTTACGCTACGCTCTTATCTTTTGAACCTTCCCAGTGTTGTAGTGCTTCGAGACAAACAAATATGGGAAGCACTGATAAGAGGCTCCGAAACAAAGATAAGTAAGTGTTTACCTGTTCTTAGCGGGATAGTCTATGGTCCATTAAGTCCAAGTTAAAATTAGACAAATACCTATGACTACTAGACTAAGGCTGAGTTGTACCACCTAACTTTAACCTAACTGTAACTATGACGATAACCGGTGCTTTTTGTATGGAGTTTGAAAGATTTTTGACGTAAGATGGTGCAACCCAGCCTAAGAGCTAGTGAACGCCAGTCCTACGTCATTTTATAAGAGCTGAAAGTTTGTCAGCGTATGTTCCCAAACCCAATATAGTTGCATAGGTTAGAATGTTGGTGCATCATGAAGTTTGGGTCAACGTGGCTTTGGCAGCTACCCTCAAAAGTTAGGCAGGCAAGGAGTTGGAACTGTCAAAATTGACTGGCTGATGTGGAAACAACTTCTCATCATTGGCCAAATACTACACAAAAATCAGCTTTTATGGTACAACGTTTCATGACTTTCAGAGTTGTACATTATAATTCGAAGGTTGTACAAGTCAGTGAACTACAGAAGAGTTACTACCAAACGCATCCAAGGCGGCGCACGCGCACGCAAGGTGAACCGCTATTTCCAATACTCAAGGGCTAAAATAAATTATTATGTAAATCATACAACAAGCTCGGTGGTCAAAGCAGTCGGTAAGAAAGGTCGAAGATTCAATTCCCATCTGAGACAATAGGGATGATGACTGGGTAATGAAATTGAAATTCTATTTAGTCCGTCAGACAGATAATAAAAAAAATTGGATACATATATTTTTTTTTTCATAAACGAATAATTACAGTAAGTATTATATTGAGTTGAAATGTCGCATGCGTGACGTAACGCGCCATTTCAACTCGATGTTATTATTTAATTATGAAAGAAAATAAAAAATATGAGTCTAATGTTTTCTAATTATCTGTCTGACGGGCAAATAATTGAAATTTTGTCATCTAGCCTATTCTGGTTTTTCCAAGTTCAACCAACTTCAAAAAAAGGAGGAGGCTCTATGTTCGACTGGTATTTTTTTAACCTTGCAATAAAATACGTAATCCAACTGTGAAATTAAAAAAATACGCAGTCCTTATAACAATACTTGTTTTAATCCAAGCAGCTACTCAGCCTACGGAAGGATTCTTGATTTTACTTTAATTACAAATTCCGTTTAAGTATTGCACTTCCTTTTAACTTTATTTTAACGGCATTGAAATACTACAAAGGGCACAGATAGGATCCTTTCAAGTAACTCTTTCCGTGTTCCGAAACACGATTTTGCCTTATAAGACTTGCAGGCAGTGACATTTTCTTTTTTTAATGACATTAAAATGGTCAGGATTAATCCATAAAGGTCGTACTTCATGTTTTTCTTCGTCTGTTAACGTAGGACAAGACCTTCCACGCTTTTTGAAAGTGGCATCAAAAAAGCCAAAGGATTAATTTCCATACTTCCTTAATCTTTTTGGTAGTTTTTCAACGTAGATAGGTCAGGATTAATTCCCAAAAAGGTCGCAGATACTTCATTTTTTTCTTCGAAATAAGACCTTCATCCACGATTGTTTATAAAAGTGGCATCCTAAAGGCTAAAGAATTAAATTCCAAAGAAGTTTCGAAATCTTTTAGGTAGTTTTTTAACCTAGGATAAGGCGCCTGTTTCCATACATTGATAACGAAAACAATTTTAAGAGAGAGTTATCGAATCAATGACAGCTATTTTAGTTTTGAGAAAGATCCAGCAGTGGACTGAAGTCTCCCCCCTTGATAAGGTTCTTCGAATATTTCGCTCTATTGGTATTATTGGTAAACATTGAAACAGTGGTGGATTTGGTTAAGATTGAGATGATCAGAACTAAAATATGTAGTTCGTGTCTCCACATCTAGTATGTAATAATAACTTAATTGATAAAATACCACAATCTGCTTCATTATTAGGTATTCCCTGCAAAGGTTTAACTAGATAAACATAAACAAAAGAAAAACCAGGCGAACTATGTTTTCGAAAATAGAGACAAATTAAGATAATGCACCTAAAACCCTGTTAGTTAATGTATACTGCTAATGTCTTTGTTTTTCTGTTGGTGTACTTTTACATACTTACACAAATTTTATTAAGAGGATAGATTTGTTTAATTTTGTTTGTATTGAATAGGCTCCGAAACTACTGGATCGAATTGCAAAATTTTTCACCATTATTTCTGATGAATGGACATAGGCTGTATGAAGTCTGCCGGATCAGCTAGTCAATAAATTAATACTTATAAGATAACCTTAATTACTCAAAATTAATCTGGTGTCTCTTTTAGAAATTTCAGAAGCACTCATTGAGCCGTACTACGTAACTCAAGCGAGTACTACAACCGCACATGCCTATTTTAGAAACAAGTCTGCCGATTCAAGTTTTTATACTATTGTAACGGTTACTACGACCTACATATCTATCAAGTATGATAGCGAACTCATGGTTATACAATTTGGGACGATGAAAAATTTGAGAGAAAGTGAAAGAAAGTTTGTACGCGAAAACCATGATACTGGTCTGAGGTCAAATGAAACTGAAACTTATGTTATATGATAGAATCCTTGAGTAAAATGTTGAAGACTTCAAAATGTAGAGTTGAATAATAATTGAAAGATGATTGATCTGTGATAAAAATGTGCCTACATAAGTATCTAAGAATAATATCAAACACAATCCCAAGAAAGATAACAATTTCTATTTCATTTCAAGAACAATGTGTGAATGCATTGTTATCACAAAAACATTAGCAGTAAAAACTAAAAGTGCAAAAACTAACCTGATATGGAGTTGAAAATGTTTGTACTAATAAAAACAAAACCGTAGGTACACTGCACACACAGTCACTGAGTTAAACACGTTTTTATTAGCAAAAACTTTTTTGTTTCAAAAAGTTTGAATATATCCGCGAGATATTTATTATCTGTGGCGCGATCGAAATGGGCGGCTGGCTCGGACGAGGGCAAGCGCGCCAACTGACTCCGACTCGGACATTCGCTTTGGAAATACAAACGGAAGATGGCTATGTTCATTGTTGTTTTACGTGTACTTACATCATCACGACGACGTCGTAGAAGAAATTTGGCCTATGTCACTTCATTAGTCATCGCTTTAAACAAATTACAATGGCTTTCGAAGAAATGCATTGCGGCTCGAGTAAATGATGAAGATTTAAAAGTGGCGGTCCAGGAAAGTTACTAATGCAAGCATGCTTGATGTAAATATTGATGGATTCCGATTTTCCTCTCAACGTCACAGTTGTAGCGCAAGAGTAGCAATGCACAAATAGCATTTTATTTATTCAACTGCATTACTTTGTTTCATTGGACTTATTAGGGGTAGAGTCGTAGAGATAATAATAGCAGACATTGGCAATGATTTTGGTTGAAAAGATAAAACTACATAACTGAAGCAGCTCTATCCACGTAGAGATTCTAAAACAATATAAAGTGATAAGAACTGATAACCTACATTTTTTAAAAAAGCATACTTTACATTTTCGATCCTTGAAATATTTTAAGCCAGTTACCGAAAGTTTCACGGCTATCTTATCTGTAATCCAATGTCATGCTGTTTCGCTCTCTTTGAACTGTCAAGATCAGCGATGCAACAACTTTTTTACTTAGATATGTATGCTGAAGACATTTTTATTTGTATTTTTGAATCTACGTGGTGGGGGTCATTGATGATATTGTGTCAGTAGCATCTGTTCATTGGGAACAGAAGACTTATAAATATTTATTAGCACACACCATTAGCCTAAATGTTGTCTGTTATAACTTAAATTCTGCTAGAATCGCGAAGTTTTGAATTAGGTTGATCATTCCTAAAGATCCAGTGATCAACTCTACGGAAACAATCCCGCAATCAAGCCAGAGGTAATATCCAAAACCATTGTTCTATTTCATCCCAAGCACTAATGTAGATATGTCAACATGGTCTGTCGAAACGATTGCGGCTGCGTCCTTCTTGTCTAGTTTCCCAACACACTTGACGACAGTGAGGTATGGGACAACCATCTTGTTTAGAGATATTATTATTTTCACGTTCCATGAATTTAATTACATTGAAGACTTGGGTTTTCACTTCTAAATCCGTATTTATAAGAGACCGAATAAAGCATTGTTTTAAAATAGTGACAAAAAATTGAATAATTTTCTGCCAAATGTGGGACTGGGAAAGGAAAGGCAAATTAGTAATAAAGAATTTTAATAAACATTAAACACTGAACTACCACACTATCGAATACGTAAGCAACTAGAGACACATACTTACCAGTGTAGAACAAAGGAGATAAACTATCTAAAGATTTAATAAATTGTTCAACAGAATTTACCTATGTTACTGATAATACTAATTAACTTCTCTCAGACTCACCATATACTCAAAATTTCTTATCTTAATGGGAATCCTTCAATTTGCTCGCTTAAACGATTGTGCAAATATAATAATGGCCTTTTCTACACATTATTTAACTAAGAAACAAACATTCAAGTAACAGTCAAGTAAATAAAGTGGAGGTGACAAAAGTTAACTCAATCACTGGGTTGAGAAACATAGCTAGAAATATTTAAACTCAAATAGATATTTAAAAGGTTTAAAGTATGAACAATAAGACACTTTTGTGACATCACAAACGCAGTGCCATAAGTTATCGGAGATTTTGAGAATCGACTGTGGGAAAAACCAAACAATATTTTGACTGAAAAACGCATATAATGGCAACAAAGACATTTTATTTAAATACTTTAAAGTAAATGCTCAAAAGTTATGTTAGTTGAATGTTTTAAGTAACCCATTTGCATTATAAGTCAAGTACAGATAACGGCACACCAAGCTAAACACTGTAGCATCTTAAATATAGTTATATTAAGGATGAATTTACAACAAAAATGCATAACCTAATGTGCTGTCATCTATACTTAAATAAAACATCTGTCTAAGTGGACTCCTATCAATGCAAGTGGTGCATTACAATGCAGAAGGCGCTGCAGAATGACGGCATCGTCACTTCAATGGAATAGCAAGTAACGTTTTGATTTTAGCACCACTTCTTACCATTTTTCCTTGATTTGTGGATAATAATAACGAATTTTGTATCCGTCTCAAGCACGATCAACAGTCTGATGTAGATGGTTTATTTTGTACTTATATGTAATTTTTTCCAATGTCTGTTATGATATCATAAGTGTTTGATTTTTTGCCCTACAATGGCACTTCAAAACAAAGAATTGGCAAGTGCAGAGAAGAATTGCCGTAAAACTCAGACTCACCACTGCTGTCACTTTAAAAATAGAGAAAGCATCAATATATGTTTTAAGAATGTTGCTGTTTATTTCCTTAATAAATAAATACGAGTAACAAAAGGATAATTGCGGGATCTCTATTCTCTACACTACATAATACAATTTAAGATTCATGGCCAATATGTTCTGCACATTTTCATTACATTATTATGGTCAAAGTTCAACAAAAAAATATTATTTTAGGCGGATTCTGAATCCGATGATGCCAAAAATAATATCTGGGAAAATCCGGAACAACTGGTCAGCAGATGTGATATTAATTTGGTATTCATTATAAAAGGAAAATGACACAATGCGGTCTAGCTGGTTACATGACTTCTATCTAGCACAATAAAATTGAAGACAGTGGGGTCTTCTAAGAATATTTATTCGCCGAGCGAGACAAGGTACTGTACTGTAGTATTGATCTATACATACTATCTATACTAATATTATAAATGCGAAAGTAACTCTGTCTGTCTTGCTTTCACGCCCAAACCACTGAAGCAATTTTGATGAAATTTGGCATAGGAGTCCCGGGAAAGGACATAGGATAGTTTTTATCCCGGTTTTTGAAACAGGGACGCGCGCGATATAGTTTTTCTGTGACAGACAAAATTCCACGCGGGCGAAGCCGCGGGCGGAAAGCTAGTGTTGTCATAAATTCAGTGCAGTTTATTTCACCAGCGCAGCTACGACTATGTGTATATGAGCTGGATCTAGTTCATAGTTAAATTGTGTTCCGGCAGTTAGAGGTAAGATAGCCAGTTCCTCTGTGGTTGAGGATTCCGGGCGAAGCTCGATTCCACTTTCGGCCTGATCATCACTTACCATCAGGTGAGATACAGGCCAAGAGCTTCCCCGTTGGGGATAAAAAGACGCAGGGAGGCAAATGGGTCCCTTTTTATTGAAAGAATGGATTCATAGATTGACTACAAGTATACAGGGTGGAAACGTTAGAGCTCTTACACACGAGCAGCACATTGACGACAGCAAAGGCGACCGCAGTCGCCGTCACTTGTCGGCAGCTAGCCGTCGACGTGCCCGCAGCAAGCTGTCGATACGTCGACGTCTGCCGTCGACGAGTCGACAGCTTGCTGCGACGACCGTGTCGGCGTACGTCTTTGTACAGGAGCCAGCCAGTTGAAAATTAATTTCATTGAAGAAACACTGTTNAAGTGGTGCATTACAATACAGAAGGCGCTGCAGAATGACGGCATCGTCACTTCAATGGAATAGCAAGTAACGTTTTGATTTTAGCACCACCTCTTACCATTTTTCCTTGATTTGTGGATAATAATAACGAATTTTGTATCCGTCTCATGCACGATCAACAGTCTGATGTAGATGGATTATTTTTTGTTAAGTTGGTCTTATTATGTATTTTTTTCCAATGTCTGTTAGTGTTTGATGGAACTCCACTCCGAAACAAAGAATTGGCAAGTGCTGAGAAGAAGCGCTGTAAAAACTCAGACACTGCTGTCAGTTTAAAAATAGAGAAAGAATAAATACGAGTAACAGAAGGATAATAGGTAATTGCGGGATCTCTATTCTCTACATAATACAGTTCTTTAATTGTAATTGGATCTTTATCCATCATCATCTCAGCCATAGGACGTCCACTGCTGAACATAGGCCTCCCCCAATGCTTTCCATGTTTTCTGCCAATAATTTCAATATTATTATGGTCAAAGTTCAACAAAAAAATATAATTTTAGGCGGATCCTGAATCCGATGATGCCAAAAATATCTGGAAAAATCCGGAACAACTAGTCAGCAGCTGTGATATTAATTTATTATTCATTATAAAAGGAAAATGACACAATGCGGTCTAGCTGGTTACATGACTTCTAGCACAATAGAATTGAAGACAGTGGGGTCTTCTAATACTATTTATTCACCTAGCGAGACAAGGTACTGTACTGTAGTATTGATGTTATCATAAATTCAGTGCAGTTTATTTCACCAGCGCAGCTACGACTATGTGTATATGAGCTGGATCTAGTTCATAGTTAAATTGTGTTCCGGCAGTTAGAGGTAAGATAGCCAGTTCCTCTGTGGTTGAGGATTCCGGGTGAAGCTCGCTTCCACCTTCGGCCTTACCATCAGGTGAGATACAGGCCAAGAGCTTCCAGGGATCAAAAATGGGTCCCTTTTTCTTGAAAGAATGGATTCATAGATTGGTCTGGGACTACAAGTATATAGGTTACGATGCGAATATGTGTGCGTTGCAGTACGGAGTTTCATACAAAGAATACTGACCGCCTCGAGTTGATACGGTTACGATCCGTTTCCGGGTTGATAAGTGTGCTTCGTCCTGGAATCCTATTGATGAAATTTAGGAGTAACCCGGTTTTCTTTTAGTTAAGGCATAGTTTAGTTTGAACCTACTTCACCTACAATTGTTATGCCCCAGTCTACGACTATTCCAAAGTGTACGTTTGTCGCTCGGTCGTTTACATACAAAAATCAAACATCCTCATGTAAATCATTCGTTGTTACGGAAAAACCTTCAACAGTCAAATAAATCGACACGGCATAATTTCTGCAATAATAAACTATAAATATGTATATCAATAGATATAGATAGAGCTAGGCGAATTTATGTATTTGGCTAGACACATTTCCTGATGCTTTGCTACACCTACATCCTAATTAATTAATTAAGTAGTTTTTATCTTATTTGTGTCTTTAAGGCTGGGTTGC